CTGCCAAACAAATGGATAAAAGCATTTATGGTACACTACATCGCCTATTGCTTGTGCAAAGCAGTTTATAGTTAGCTGACTAATTGGTTAAGTCAGCAGTACCTTAAAGTCCTCTGCATTCAAAGTGTACAACGTATATTTGTTCTGTTTTAACCATGTAAACTATGATATATGATCAGAATTGTACTTCATAGAATTATACAGCACAGAAGGAAGCCATTCGGCCCATCGTGTCTGTGCCGGCTCCTTGAAAAGAACCATCCCAATCCCATTCCCCCCACTCTCTCCTCATAGCCCTACAAACTCATCCTCCCCAAATAATTATCTACTCTCTTGAAAGTTATCAAATCTGCTTCCACCACCCTTTCAGGCAATGCATTCCAGATCCGAACAACTTGCTGTGTGGAAAACAATTCTCCTCACCTACCCTCTTTTTTTAACAACTATTTTAAATCGATATCCTCGGGTTACCGACCCACCCGCCAGTGGAAATAGTTTCTCCTTGTTCACCCTATCAAATCCCCTCATAATTTTGAAAACTTTGATTAATTCTCCTCTTAACCTTCTCTGCTGCAAGGAGAATAATCCCAGCTTCTCTGGCCTCTCCTGATAATTGAAGTCCCTCATTCCTGGTACCATCCTGATAAATCTCTACAATGCCTTGACATCCTTCCTAAAGTGTTGTGCCCAGAACTGAACACAGTACACTTTATCAAACACCTTTTGAAAATCTGTGTAAACTACATCAACTGCACTGCCTTCATCCACCATCTCAGTTACTTCATCAAAAAACTCTTATCAGGTTTATTAGACATGATTTACCTTTAATTTTCTACTTGGCTTTGTTTCAGTTGCATCATAGAAGTGTAAATTTGGAGTTGACTTTCTCATACTAGCGAGCAGTTATTCCTGTAAGGCTTTTATTTTCTGTAGAGCACCTGTATGTGAGGTGAGATACCATTCTTAGATTCTGGGCTGAGAAAAGTTATACTTATCACTGTTTGTTTAGTTGACCAGAGTGAGCTTCATATATTAATATTTAGGTGTCGGCCTAGCTCAGTTGGTTGTAGGTTTTGTCTATGGGCTCAGAAGGTTGTGGGTTTGGAATTTTTAACTCATAGTCTAGGCTGACACTCTGTTGCAGGGCTAGTGGAGTTACATTGTCACATGTGCCATCTTTTCTGATGAGAGTCAAACTGAGGTTTTGTCTGCCTGTGCTCTTAACGACTAAGCTACAGGTCTCCACACTAATGTGGGACACATTGATGCTGAAACAGTGGGGTATTTCTGTAGTGGTTTTCACATGTGACTATAGTGATTTGCAATATTTGCTGGAGGTAGTAGAACAGATCTTGGCTCTAAGAAGTTTCCCATTTATTCCCAGGTTAATATTTTTGGTTAAATTGCAATTAATAGTACTTATTTAAAATCGAAGAGATTATGGGCATATTTTGCTAATTCATTATTGTAAAATAATAAATAATCCTTGCATTTGATGTAGCTTTTTTCAAATAATGCCATGGGATCTCAAAACATTGATCTGAACGGGCAGATGGAATATCTCAACCGAAGAATGAAAACTATAACTTTATTTTGGTTACAACTGAATATCTTAGTCTATCCAACATTACCATGTGCCATGAGATTGCTGCAAATGGCCTTCAGGTAAGGGAGGGAAAATTTGCTGCCAACGGCAGCTCTAAACTCAGCAGATCATCAAAATAACGCAGCACTCGTGCTGAAACGCATCACCAAAAGAAGTGCCCTTGGCCCTTAGCAACATGAAGGTTGTTAGCTTTGGGAATGGAACACCATTTTGTTTTGATCACCCATTCAAGTGCTCCCAATCATATAAAGCACATTGAGTACAGAGTATAGCTTCCTGTACTCTATATTAACCCAAGACTGTTCCAATATACTTTTTTATTTTTTACACACACTAACCCTCCTGTAGTTACTGAGATTCCTAGTAATATCCTCTGGGCCAATGCTCATCAAGGACTGGGTTGGGTTGCCCTAATTAACTTAGAATTCTAAGATCCTTACAACCAACAGATTTTATAATTCAAAAGCAAGAAGCCAAAATGACATGTTCTTGTTTATATACTGTAGTGTGTGTGGAAGCAGGTTAATTCTGGAATAGTAATGGCAAGAACAACTTGCACTTATATAGCACCCTCCACGCAGGGTAGCGTCTCAGACCGCTTAACAATCATCAGTGTTGATCTAAGTAAAAAGGTTTTAGAAATGCACATTTACAGTACAAGTCAAGCTCAGTTGCTGACCAAGAATGACTACCTCACAATACTTGCATGGTTTGTCTGTGTCCAATAGAATTGAGCCACCTACATTTTTGAGGTGTGATTTTTGTAAGTACTATATTTTCTTTTTGGATCCCTGTGCAAACGTCCATCGTCGTGGAATTGCCTGGTAAATTTATTCCAATTTTGTTTTTCCCTGTAAAATTAATTTGCAAATTACTAATAAGAAATTGATGGCTGATGAGGTTAAAATTAATCTAGATAAGATCAAAGCCATTTCAAAATGTTCTCTTCATGTGCTCGGCTATGTAGTCCTTTTTGCTGTGAGTGTTTTGTTCGAAGATCATTTTTTCAGTTTCCATGGGTACCAGCCACACATCTTACAACCAGTTTATCTTGCCTAACAAGTGCCAGTGAGCACTCAGTTTGTAGTTTTGTTATGAAGGCAGCATTACATTTTAATCTGCAGAAAATCTGTTTCATATCATCAGTTGCTTTGTTCGAAGCACTCCTGAACAAGTACTGTGTATGGAGCTCTTCCCTACACCCTCCAAAATCTGATCTTTCTCAAATCTATATTTGAACTTTTATAGTGAGTTACATAAGCATTATGATATTTGAGCGGGGAGAGAAAGACTTTTAGATAGAGTACTGTTAATTCTTTATGTGGTCAATCAGCCATGTCTGTTCAGATGTTATGATGATTTAATTTACGAGGTGATGTTACACTGGGTGCCGTGTTACAAAGAGAAATGCTCCATAAGAGAATTGTTTTACTCCAGTTAAAATTGAGGAAAGTTGATGGTCCACCAGGAGTTGCTTTGATAACACAACTCTTAAAGCTTTATTGAAGTTGCAATTCTGTCAAATTAGAAAGCTGGAGGGCAATCTGTTCTTTCCATATTTAGCACAATGCATTTAAATCTGGTAAAAATGCTATTTGTTTATCAAAATTAGGACGTCTTAAGTTTTTTTTAAAACAAAGTCTGCACTTTTTGGTTTGTAAAATATGTTAAATTTTACCAATCCTATACTGTGCAAATTCAGTGTAACCAATTTCCTACGGAGTAGATATAAATAATACTTTTGTTTTTATTTCTGTTTTTTCCCCATTAGTTCTGTAAAGAACTGTAGTTCTGTGTGTTGGTTTATTGGAGTTATTGTCTGAAATAACACTTTGGTTTGTTCAATGGGTAATACAACAACAACAACAAAATTATATTTGTATAGCGCCATTCACATTGGGAAGATGGCCCAAAGAGCTGGGAGTCGGGATCAGGGAGGGTGGAGGGCAGATGGGGAAGGAGGGTGATCGAAGGCACGGTCGAAGAGCAGGGTCTTGAGGTGGGCCTTGAAGAAGAAACCGTTAGAGGCAACAAAGTGGAGATGGTGAGAAAGATAGGAATCAAACCAGGCAAGGGCAGGTCTGTGAAGATTAAGTAAAGCGGAGAGGCGGTGTATGAGGATGGAGTGGTTGAGGTGAGAGGAGATGCGCTGGAGGAGGATAGAGTGGTCAACGGTATTGAAGGCAGCAAAGAGGTCAAAGAGGACGAGGAGGCAGAGGGAGCCCTGGTCGCAGATGAACAGAATGTTATTTGTCACTTTGACCAAAGTTGTTTCTGTGCTATAGGCGGCACGGAATCCCGATTGGAGGTGTTCGTGAAGGGACTGGAGGGAGAGGAAGGAGCAAAGCTGGGAAGCAACGACTCGTTCCAGCACCTAGGAAAGGGAGGTTAGAGATGGGGCGGTAGTTTGAGAGCACGGATGGGTCCAGGGAGGGTTTTTTAAGAATAGGAGTAACGCCGGACGTTTTTAAATGGATGGGAAAGGTACCAGTGACAGGGAGAGGTCTGTGAGTAAAGAGGAAAGGTTAATGGATAACAAGTGATCTTTAAAATATTTGTGCTATTTTATGATTGCTTGTTCATTAAGTAATTGTCTTATCATCATTGCAAGAATGAGAGCAATTCCTTAAATTCTTGGAGCTTCATGTAAACTTTGAAAAATTGCAATTTTGATCAAAGGAATACTTTGGTGCTTGAACCTTACCTTTCATACTGGAACCTTAATCATAAGTGATGCATGAAACAGGGATCTTTGCTCAGTTGTAATGTCTTGTTCTTTAATTGTTTGATAGTAGTAGAGCAGTGAAAAATACGGAAACAGCATTGACTCCAGTTCAAGGATAAATATTAAAAAAGTGGTCTTGACTGAACAGAAGTTTCTATTTTAAACTTCATTGGGGGATCTACATTTTAGAATGGTCTGGGTTGCAGCATGCTGTTTTTACACTGGTCCTGGGAAGGTTTTCTGTAAATTTAATAATACTAATCCTTGCATTTGGTATAGCGCCTTTGAAGTTGGGAGAATATCCCAAATCGCATCACAGGATGTTTTGTAAAGTGGGGTCACTGTTTTGTTTTAGTTCAATGTAAGTTTAGTTTTCAACAAAATTCGTCTTGAGCTAATTTTTTGAAATCTTGTTCCACGTATTAGCTGACCAGAAGGTCTTGAAATCTAGCCCAACAGGATACTTTAGAAAAGTCAGTTCTTAATGAATTTTTTCTGTTTGATGTTATCTAGCAGAATATTATTTACAGCGTGAAAGTCTCTGTGTGGTAAATTTGTTTGAATTGTGGGATAATGATGGTCTCTTTTAATATTTGGCATGATGCACTTAATTGACCACAGGTATTTAACGTCTGTATTTTTTTCTCTTTTTCCTTCTTGTTTTTCCAGTTCTATCTTCAGGACACTAAGAGTAGTAACGGTACATTTATTAACAGTCAGCGTTTAAGTCGAGGATCAGAGGAAAGCCCTCCATGTGAGCTCCTGTCAGGTGACATCATTCAATTTGGTGTAGATGTGACCGAGAACACCAGGAAAGGTAAGGGTACGAAACTTTTTTTTCTTTAGCCTTTTCTTTCCTCCTTAACAAAAACATTAGTAGTATACTTGTTGGAAAAGACTTGAAGGCCTAGGATATATTCTTGTCATCCATCATGAAGGAGGGATGTTTGTATGGTTCGAACTAGTTCTGCCAATACTTTCCAGTCGCAGTTGGAATACACCTATTCCAACATGTTCCAGATATTGAATGTGTTCATATTGTCACTAGGCTCCTAATGTTTTAGATTTTTCTTTTTTTAAAAATGTTTTGAGGATTTTTTTACCTGGTGTATTTTGTACATGCCATGCAAATTGTACCTTATGTAAAATAATTATGGGAGTTTACTGATACAACAACAACAACAAGATTGCATTATAGAGCACCTTTCACGTCGGGAGGACATCCCAAGGTACTGGACAGTTGGGTCGGGACCTGAGCAGGGGTGAAATGGTCAGGCTGAGGGGAGGGAAGGGAGCGAGCAAGGAGGGGGTAGAGAGTCGAGAGAGGGGGGTGAAGGCACGGTTGAAGAGAAAGGTCTTGAGACCGGCCTTGAAGGAGGAAAGGGAGGAGGCAAGGCGAAGGCACTGGGGGGTGGAGTTCCAGAGCCTAGGGGCTGAGATGCTGAAAGTCCGGCCACCGATGTTAGAGCGGGGGATGTGGAGCAGACCGGAGCCAGAGGAATGGAGGGTACGAGCAGGTAGGTAGGGGGTTAGTAGGTCGGAGAAGTAGGAGGGTGCAAGGCCGTGAATGGCCTTGTAGGTGAGGATGAGGATCTTGAATTCGATCCTCTGGGGGATGGGGAGGCAGTGGAGGCGAGTGAGGGTGGGAGTGATGTGGTCGCGAAGCCTGGTGCGGGACAGTACACGAGCTGCAGAGTTCTGAATGACTTGCAGCTTGTGGAGGGAGGTGCCGGGAAGGCCGACGAGGAGAGAGTTCCCGTAGTCCAGCCTTGAGGTGATAAAGGCATGGACCAGTGTTTCAGCAGCGTGAGGGGTGAGGTAGTGCCGTAGTCTGGCGATGTTCCGGAGGTGATGGAAGGCGGTGCCAGTTGTGGTGTGGATGTGGGGAAGAAAGGACAGCTCAGGGTCGAACAGAACACCGAGGTTCCTGACTGGCTTTGAGAGGTGGAGAGTGCAGCCTTGGATGCTGATGCTGTCAGCACCTGAGTGCGGAGGCGCTGACGCGAGCCAATCAGGAGGGCCTCAGTTTTGCGCACGTTGAGCTGAAGAAAGTTGTCTCTCGTCCAGGACTCAATGTCAGACGGGCAGGCTGTCAGTGGTCGTGGAGTTGAGGGTAGAAGAGGAAAGGTAGAGTTGGGTGTCATCCACATACATTTGGAAGTGGGGCAAGGAGGTGGAGCTGGGAGATAAGGAGTGGGGATGGGGTCCAGGGAGCAGGTGGTGGGTTTCAAGGACGGGATGAGTTTGGTGACAGAGGGTGGGGAAACGGGTTCGAAGGTGTGTAGGGGAGGATGGGTGGGAGTCGGGAGTGGGGAAGGAAGGGGTTGGGGTGGGTGGAAGTTGGAGGGGCAGTGACCGTGGAGTGGATTCCCTTGATTTTGGATTCAAGGAAATCCAGCATCTCCTCGCAGTGAAGGTTGGAGCAAATGACCTGCGCGGGGTGGCGGGGGGGACGGAGGAGTCGGGATGTGGTGGAGAACAGAAGCCTGGGGTTGTACTTCGCCTCCAGGATTATCCTGGAGTAGAAGGACGACTTGGCCGAGGCTAGAGTGGAGCGGTAGATTTTGAGGAGGTCCAGCCAGATTTGTCGGTGGACCGTTAGGCCAGATTTGCCAGTGGACCATTAGGCCAGATTTGAGGCAGGTGCGTTCAGCGGCCCGCACCTGGCTCTTCAGTGAGCGGAGGTGGGTGGTGAACCAGGGGGAGGAGCGAGAGTAAGAGACAGTACGGGAGGTGATAGGGGCAAGAGTGTTAAGTGTGGAGGAGAGGGTATTGTGGAGGAGGGTGAGAGTAGAAGAGGGGTCAGTGAGGGATGAAGGCTAGAGGGAGAGGAGTTCAGAGGACTCCCAAGGCAGCGGTTAGGGATTGTGGGGGTAACTTCTTCCAGGGCGGTAGAAGATGTTGGTGGGTCTGGTGGAGGTAGGAAGGGGGATGGACGTGGTGAAGGAGATGAAGTGCTGATCAGAGACGGCCTTGTCGGTAATAGTGACATCCGAGACATTGAGGCCCCGGGTGATCACCGAATCGAGTGAGTGGCCGTGAATGTGAGTGGCGGGGTTGATGTGGAGGGAGAGGTTCAGCAAGGAGAGGAGGGAGGTGAAGTCCGAAGAGATGGAGCAGGAGGGGGTGAAGTGTAGGTTGAAGTTGCCCAGGATGATGAGGCGATCAGAGCAGAGGCAGAAAGATGTTAGGAGGGTAGAAATATCGGAGATGAAGGTGGGAGAGGTTTTAGGGGGCCAGTAGAGGAGATTTTGAGTGAGAGGAAGGAGGGGTGGGAGAGGGTGAGGTGCTCGAAAGAGGGGAAAGAGCCAGAGGAGTAGGGGGATAGGGCAAGTGGTGTCCTTGAGATAAGGGCTACACCACCGCCACGGCGGTTGGGGTGAGGGATGTGGTGGGAGGTGTAGCCGGGTGGTGTGGCCTCCGTAAAGGGGAAGGTGTCGCTTGGGGTGAGCCAGGTTTCAGTTAAGGCCATGATGTCAACGCTCTCATCGAGGATGAGATCGTTGATGACCAGGGCCTTGTTACAGAGGGAGCGGACGTTTTGTAGTCCGATGTGGAGGGAGTGGTTGATAGAAGGGTGTGTTGGGAGGGAGAGGGGTCCAGGTTGTGAGGCAGGGGTGGGGAAAATGGGGATGAGGGAGGAGAGGTTGGCTCCCCGGGTTTGTGTCCGGGGTGGCTGGCGAGTGTGGTGGGGAATGGGGCAGTCAGTGTGGCTGCTGCTGGACAGTCAACGCCTGGCGGAGGATTCCCAGGCTGGAACAGAGGAAGGTTGTGGGAGGGTCAAGTGGGGATAGAAGGCGAGGAGGACGGAGAGAGAGGAGGACAGAGTGGGAGAGATGCAGAGGAGGGAGGGAGAGGGTGAAGGGGCTTGGGTCAGAGCGGCAGCCATATTGCCCGCGTGGGGACCGGGAGCGAGCGGTCACGTGGGCGACATTAGCCCATGGGCTGGGGCAGCCAACCCAACAGGAACATAGTGTTCCCTGGTGCGAGCCCTGGGGTGGGCGCAGAGGATTTTTTTTTTTTTTTTTGCGCGCGCACACTCCTAAATCTGAACTATGACGTCAGCGGTTCCCCCGCTCCAACCCCTTGTACACAACATATACTGTCAACTCACTTTACAGTATATTCTGTGAAACGCTTTGAGATGCCTCGAAGACGTGATATCATTTGCAAGGATATTATTCTTTCATGCAATTAAGTATAATTTAAGATCATCCCTAAAGAAGCCCCAAAACCTTCTCAAATCTCAGCCAGAACTGTGCCAAGTATGCTACAATTGGACTCCCAAGTAGGAAAGGGAAAAAAATTCAGCAAAGGTTCCTGGACTTAATCTTTATTACAAGCATGCCCCAAGGCAACTTATTAAAACATACCCCGAATTCACTTGGGCATGTGCTGTATACCCAGCTTTCATTGCTTCAAAAATAGCTGCCTTCTGGGTTATTGAGTCACCATCGACTTCGCTGCCTACATAATTTTGTGGCATATCATTCTCTACACATTTCCTACTGCAAGCAATGACAACAGCCCTGGGCATGCATGCTGTGAAGGAAGGATGTGTCATCAGTTTCCAATTTGAGACAATCTGTCTCGATTCAGTATCACCCAACGTCATCGATTTGTTCCTTCTTTCTGACTAGATTGTGCTTGGCGATGAGCAACCTACAAAGGGAAATAAAAGTAGCTAGAGTCATTCAGAGTTGTATTATCCAATAAAGTATCAGTAAAATAAATTGCACAGATACATTTGGACACTACATTTGTGTACCAAGCTTTTCTCCACTGGCTCCCCATCCCCCAGAGGATCAAATTCAGGATCCTCGGCCTCACCTACAAGGCCATTCAAGGCTTTGCTCCCTCCTACTTCTCCGACCTACTATTCCCCTACTTACCTGCCCGTACCCTCCATTCCTCTGGCTCCGGTCTGCTCCACATCCCCCACCCTAACCACCCTACCTTCAGTGGCCGGGCTCTCAGCCCCTAGGCTCTGGAACTCCATCCCTCAGTGCCTTCGCCTTGCTTCCTCCCTTTCCTCCTTCAAGGCCAGTCTCAAGATCTTTCTCTTCGACTGTGCCTTCACCTCCCCTCTCGACTCTCTACCCCCTCCTTGTTCCCTCCCTTCCCTCCCCTCAACTTGACCATTTCCCCCCCTGCTCGGGTCCCGACCCAACTGTCCAGCACCTTGGGACGTCCTCCCGACGTGAAAGGCACTCTATAAATGCAATCTTGTTGTTGTTGTTTTCTACCCATGTTGGTAAGTTTACTTATTGATTGTCCGCCGAGGCTTGGTTGAAGAAATAGGTGCTCAGCAATATTGACAGGAAGGGAATAAGCGACTATCGTCTGCAGCTGATGCAACACACCAAAGAGGAAATGGGTATTGCTTCAGTTCAAATTTACATCTCTACATCAGAAAATGGAGCTCAGTTTCTTTGAATTTTAAGAAATTGGAGTATTCCAGCGCATCTGTATGACCATTATTTGGAGCTTGTTTTTTGGTATGCATTTGTATACATTTATTTTGTTCTGTCTTTTTAGTCACTCATGGATGCATAGTGTCTACAGTCAAACTCTTTATTCCGGATGGAATGGAAGCCAGACGACGGTCTGAGTAAGCTTGTACAATAACTCTAAATGGGGTGGGTGCATGTAATGAGATTGAGGTTCTCTTAAATACTTTGTGCGTGTATTGTGTGGATTTATTTATATTTTATGTTGCTAACATGACCAATTTAGCTGTTTTAAAGAAGTTGAAATTATAATTTGAGGAAATTTGCAAAACAATCCAGCTGACATTTTGTACTGGCAGGGCTATGCCTACATTTCGAGTAATCAGTCTCTTGAAGTCAATCTTTGAACCAGATTCATATTTGAAAATATAAATAGGTGTGAGCCAGTTTCAGTTTGGCTCAGTTGATATCCCTCCCCTTTGAGCTTGAAGGGCAATGCTTTGAGCTCCTCTCCAAAATAATAATTGTTAAAAAGCCTTGCATTTGATATAGCACCTTATCGCATCTTTGAGACGTCTCAAAGCACTTTGCAGAATATACTGTAAAGTGACTGTATATTTTGTGGGACAAACACAGCAGCCAATTGTGCACAGCAGTGTCCCACAAACAGTTGTGGATTGAGTGACCGTATTTGTTTAAGGCATTATTACCCCAGAAAAGCGACCCGCCAATCAACTAACAACCAGGTAAACAGAGGTGCGTGGAGTAAGGAAACTTGCCTAACGTTTTGTCCTGCTCGGGAATCAAACCCAGATCTTCTCGCTTGCGAGGCAAGTGCTCTAACCACTGAGCTAATCAGCTTTGTGATTTAGATTGGCGCTTGGAAAATGCTACATTGTCAGAGGAGCCATCCTTCCAATAAAACATTAAACTGATTTCCTTTCTGCCTATTCTGATAAATCCCACACATTTTTGAAGAAAAGCAGAGCGATCTTGTATTTGTTCTGTATTCTGGCCAGTGTTACACCTTCATCAAAATTTACCAACACCCCTCAGTTATCATTATGTTTTGAAGTAGCTCTTTGAAGCCCTTTGAGCGTCTTTATAGATAGATAATTATATAGATTTGTGTATGTACTTTTTAGGTAAAGAAGTTTTGATTGTTATTCCAGAATTATAGAAATGTTGAGTGACTCAGTATAAGGATAAAGTAGTAAAGAACTGCAATATTCCAAAGAGTCTAGAAGTGTCTGTTCTTTCTCTTAATTGTGTACTGTACAGGAAGGCAAGGAAAGAAAATAATTAGAATGAGAATCACCATGATCACTGTTTGCTGAAAATTGTATATGTTTTGAAGGGAACAACAACAAATTACAATACCTTTCACATCGGAAGGACATCCCTAAACGCTGGACAGAATTTTTTTAAATCTTCAAAAATAGCATAAGTAAATAGTATCCAGACCTGTAGGATGGAAATTCTAATTTAAACAATGTTTCCTTAATCGGTGCCTCTGCAACACAAGGCAAAGCAAACATTTTAATCGCTGCCCACTTAGTACAGTATGCTTAGGAAAATATCACTGTTCACTAACTATAGGCTGGGCTTAATAAAATTCTCTGTAATTTGCATCTTATAAACTTTAAGAATAATGGGACTTTAGAATCATGATTACAAGGCATTTAGAAAAACTGGATACATCATAAATCTGTGAAATAATCTGTAATAGATATAAAGAGACACTCGCAATGGATGTAATACCTCTCTCCCTCTCAGCTCTGGCTTCCACTCGGTCTTCGTAAACAGCGTTGAGTTATTTTCTCTATGTGAAAGATCTTATGTAAGTGCAAATTGTTGTAATAAATATTTGAGTATACAGGGCATCAAATCTAAAATGTTTTTTTGCCTTGAGTGTAATAATGAATTCTGACATTGGAATGTGAGGACATAGGAAGAGGAGTGGATATTTCTGCCTGTTGAGCCTGTTTCACCATTTTCTTAGGTTCTTTTTTTTCCGGTCATATGTGGAAATCCATCACCATGCTTAAGAGTATCCAAACCAAGCTGGGATTTCCATGCATCTCAGCTACACATGGAAATCCCAGAGATACATGGAATGGAGTGCACACTCTTTCCCTGCAGTGATGCATCCTGCTTACCTAATTCCGGAAAGTATTAGGTGCTAGTTGGCAAGAGATAAGGCTTGGGGACCCAGAATGTGCGTTGGGGTACTGCTGGAGTCTAACCAGCTAAAACTGCATAGCTTTCCATTGATATTGCTGTCCGGCAAGCTTTCCCGCAGCTTGTCTTGCTAGGGCCACCCTACCCATTGGGCTTTGGCTTGCAGAGCTAACAGGAGCTGAGCTGCCAACTTAACAGCATCTCCCCACCCTTTCATCATATCTATTGATATCCCTGTTTACCAAATCTACCTCCTTCGATATTTTAATTGTCTGGGCATCTAACAAGCTTTTGGGATAATGAATTCTGCATATCAACATCACTTTATGTGGAACTTTTTTCTGATTTCACTTGCAACTGATTTAGGTTGAAGGCTAAGATTATGTCCTATTGTTCTGGATTAAACACAACAGGGAAAGATTTCTATCTACTTTGCCAAATTCCATAACTATAACAACAATTTACATTTATATAGCACCCTCCACACAGGATAGTGTCTCAGAGCTCTTTGATCTCACAATCAATCCTCCCACTAAATGAGAATCTTTATTAATTGTGCTTGTGTAACATCTGTCACATGATACATTTTATCTTTGAATTCCTTTCTGCATTGCTCCTTCTCAATACTATTTGTATTTTAGTCTCTATTCAGTGGACTTGCCCAGGGCAGCTGAAAGAGTGTCTTCGCTGTTCTAGTTAATGCCACCTGCCTTCTGTTGGTTCGTGCAAGGAATTATACAACTTGCATTGATCATGAAGGATGCTGGCCTGTACTCTCGTCTGTGGAAGAAATAAATGCTAGAATTTAGCAGTAAATGTCAGTGCTGGAAAATAACAACATTCAGACCTTTTTTAAACCCTGAAGATAATACAGACATCGAAAGCTTAAATGTTACTCCAATTGAAATTTGCATAATGCATGTATAACAATCAGGAGAGAGGAATTTCACAAACTTCAGGAATTGTAAACAACTGGATTAAATATACTCTATTAAAATGTAAAGCAATTAAGGCAATTTATTTTAAAAATGTGTGATATAAATAGATAGCTGGAGTACTAGATTATTTAAACTCATAAAGACCTAACCTGGTTAATTTTTGATTTTACTCTTAAGCAGTGTTTTTAAAAAAAACTTAATCAAAAAACAATTTAGGGAACAAATATCCATTCAGTTGAGACAATATTAAACTAACCTTGTGTGATTACAAATTAAGTGTTTAGCCTATTGAGATAATGGTCTAGGCACTCTTGTCAAAAGAATAATCAAACGAAAGTCAGGAAACAGTCCTCCCTTCCAGTTCCAGTTGATCGAGAATATTCAAACATTAAAACTTGCCTGATTTTAGATGATGCTTCTGATGCTGGTGTCCCCAATTTCTTATCTTGAATTGTTTACTTGTTATTAGCTACTCCCGGCCCAAGAGGGAAACATTCCTTCATAATAATCCTTGAACTCTTTATAACATGAGCTTGGCATGGATTCTTAAAATGTGAATTATTTTAAAGGGAAATCTAAATGAAACAAAATGCTCTACAGCTGTACGCTAGGGCCAATGTTTTACACTACCTATCATTGTACTATGACACTATAAACTTGTATAGTTATTTTAAGTTAGTTTGAAAATAGGCTGAAAATGAAATTAGTTTATGCTTTCATCATTTTTTGAAAATTTTTTGCTCATCTGAATCAATTTTGAAGCACCAAAATCCTTGCCGTTCTGCCCCTATGATCAAGTTTAAATTGTAATATTCACAAAAGTATTTACAAAAAGATAATCTCATTAATTTCGACAGGTATCCTGGATGTATTCAAAATTGACAGCTGACACACTTCCCCTTTCCTCGGGCCCTGATCTCCTGCCAGGAGCCTCTTTTGACCGCAATCCAACTTCACACAAATCAGAAATGACATTGGTGTCTGTGAAACCAGATTGCAACCAGATATGGTGCTTGGAAGGAGATTGTCAGTTGTCAGGCAATAACATTTCCGACCAGGAATAAGCAATTCAGATATGAGGTGCAAAGTTCACTTCAACTCCTATTAGAGTTAAATATTTACAGGAGTTGCATGGTGATGTTTAATTTTACATTAACTTGTGTTTTCAGGTCTAATTCGCCCACAAATATGCAGTTTACGGTATTTACTTTACAGTATATTCTATGAAGGGCTTTGAGACGTCTACATGTGGAAAACGCTATATCAAATGCAAGGATTATTATGATTATTATTATACATAACCAGCATAGAGAAGTTAAAAAAAGCAGCAGGGTCATTGATTTTGGGAGTGAAGTTGCTTTCTTGTTTTACGTGACATTTCCTTGTCTTTTTAGTGTCATCCAAGCTCCTCTACCACTTCCTGTTGAAAAGGTGAGTGACTCATGTGTGATTTGGACCTATTCCAACAAAAAGGCTGTAACTAACTTGTTGAAATGCTCAGACCCTCATCAATAGTTTATATTAAAGATGGTACACTTTTAAAAAAAAAATGCAATTTAGAAACAGTTATATATTGTGCATTTTGGTCTTGTTAAGCTGTGGACTTATAAAGTGTTGGGTTTAGAAATGAGATCTCTGATTCAGTAGCTTTTGGAGATCGTGAGGTGGAAGTGAGGATAAGAGGGAGTCTGTTGCTTTTGTGGAATGGGAGAAAGGCACATAGGCAGAGGTAATGGAAATAACAATACAATACAAAATTACATTTGTATAGTGCCTTTCACATCGGGAGGATGTCCCAAGGCACTGGACATAATTAAGGACCTTGATCGTGGAAGTGAAAGGCCATTTCAGGAGCTTTTGCACAAACAGTAGTTATCAAAATCTAAATAAATTTCACCCACAAAATATACAGTCAATCCACTAAGCGCTTTTGAGACATCTCGAAGAAGTGTTAATCAAATGCAATTTTATTATCAAAGCAAAATCATTAGAGAGAGAAAATATTCATCACAAGCTCTTTAGTAATAGAATTATACAATAATTTTCGCAATGACTTCTTATTGATATTACAACAACAACAACAACAAGATTCCATTTATAGAGCGCCTTTCACGTCAGGAGGACGTCCCAAGGCGCTGCACAGTTGGGTCATGACCCGAGCAGGGGGGAAATGGTCAGGGTGAGGGGAGGGAAGGGAGGGAGAGAGGAGGGGGAAATGGTCAGGGTGAGGGGAGGGAAGGGAGGGAGCGAGGAGGAGGAAGAGAGTCGAGAGGGGAGCTGAAGGCTCGGTCAAAGAGAAAGGTTTTGAGACCGGCCTTGAAGGAGGAAAGGGAGGAAGCAAGGCGAAGGCACTGGGGGATGGAGTTCCAGAGCCTGGGGGCTGAGAGGCTGAAGGCCCGACCACCGATAGTAGGGCGGTTGGGGCGGGGGACGTGGAGCAGACCGGAGCCAGAGGAACGGAGGGTACGGGCAGGTAGGTAGGGGGATAGTAGGTTGGAGAGGTAGGAGGGAGCAAGGCCGTGAATGGCCTTGTAGGTGATTATTAAAGTTTTTTTCCCATTGAGGAATAAAATTAAGGCAGGGAAATTGTAAAATCACTTTTTTTATTGGACCAATTTATTGTAACACAATACAAAAATAAGTTGCAGTCAGAAATTTTACCCTACTTATCCACAAGTTGACATTTATTCTAGTAGGTTGCATTTGGCAGTCTTGTCACCTGATGTTTTAATTAATCATCTGTTTATAGGAAATTTAAGTTTTAGCTGAACAGAAGGAACCAAAACCGTATGATTGTACTTGAATAAGATATCCAGTGATTCATTACACATCTGCAAATATTAAAAATGGATTATTTGTATTTTAAGGTGGAAAAAGATTCTCAATTAGTGCTAATGTTCTAAGTAGAAGGTAAGGAAGATGTATTACCTGTCAGGGTTGCCATACCTATAAGAAAAATCATTAGACAGTTCAGTTCATCCAAGTTCACTGACGGAAAAATAAATTCAAATAAATAAAGGTATTTATATTAATAAATAACTTCAAATAATTAATAAATTAATAGGTTAAGAGTTGCAGGGAGTATGCCATATTTGACAGAATACTTCCTCTTTCTATGAAAATTAGCCCTCTGCTCAGTATTTCATTTATTATATCTTTTCACCAATTTATTATTGAGTAATTTTGTAAAACCTTTTTGACTGAAGTTACTTTACTCAGTTTTGAGAAATTTTCTTGTGTGCTTTTACAAACAATCGTTAACGTTTTTAAAGAAAAGTTAAAGTTGAAACTATTTTCAAGTTAACAGCTCTTGGGCTTCATTTGCAAGAGGAAATCTCGAGACGATTTGTCAACATTAAGCAGAGTGCTTCTGTGTAACAGTTATTTTTTTAACCACTTGACAAAATAGGGTTCTTACAGGCTGGGAAAGCAACTGTGTCTTCCTGGTTTTTGCTACTGTAATTTGCTACTGTGACGTCCCATTCTGTGGGTTTTTCTTTTAATTATCCTGGTTAGTTGTAGAAGGTACAAATGCAAGCAACAAATGGTTGCAACTGAAGAAATAAGGTCAAAACAATGCTGAAGGTTGCTTTTGATGAAAATAATAGCTTGTTTCGATTAATGTTAAGTTGTAAAACTGGCAAGGAATGTGTAGGTCAACAAAATTCTTCTCAGAATCTCTGCTCTGGTAAACATTAGTCCTGCTGTGCTAACATTTTTTTCTGCTATGGTGCCTTCCTTTTTCTACCATAGACATTTGGAAGAGTACTGTATATTATTGCAATGAATAAATCATCATTTGCCTTTGCAGGTAGCTGCTAATTCTCCCAGTATGTACTCTCAGGAACTGTTTCAGCTCTCGCAGTACTTACAGGTAAGTCACACTTGAGAACATTGATGGATATGTATTCAGCAAAATGACAATGGTTTGTTCTATAATTATGTGAAGTAATTTTCTGTAAAATGATTAATCATATATAGCGCTTTTCACGTCTTCTAGATGTCTCAAAGCGCTTCACAGAATATGCTGTTAAGTGAATTGACCGTATATTTGCGGGTGAAACACGGCAGCCAATTGCGCATAGCAGCGTCCCAAACAGTCGTGGATTGAAAATGACCAATTTATTATTGTTTTTTTTTAGGGATTATTATAAGGCGTGTGGAGTAAGGAAACTTGCCCAGGGTGAAACCTTGGGCAAGTTTTATTATTTATTATAATCCATGTTAACAGCAGGTCTGGGATCTGTGATGTTGCAAGGAGGAAGACTGATCTATGGAAAAGTTAATTTCTGCAACATAGCATATAAAAAGAATAACGTTGGGGTGATTACATAGAAATAAAGTAAACGTGGAAGTTTCAGACAAAGAATGTGAATAAGAAACTGGAAACCGTATTGAAGTGTTTTAAAAAGTATTTAAAATTGTATTTAGACAGTTAGTGTGTTAGCTGAAAATTCACAAATCATTGTTAGTTCAGAGAGGTGAGGGGCAGGGTACCAAGAGCTGCTAGAGATCCAAGTTATTTTAAGAGCAAATATATTATTGAGGAATTGTGCAATACCAAACATAGAGATGACAGTGGCAATGAGTATGAATTCATAATGATGAAGATAATAAATTAGTAATTGGCAAGTATTAACTACCGTCTTAAAAGTGAGCAAGCTGAATGGTGAGCGTTTTAGATTTTCTATTAATCTGTCAGATGAAATGAGGCTTGCATATTTTACTATTCTAATTTAAAAGCAAGAAATGATTACTGGTGTTTTGCTGCGAACACAACTACATTTAAGTGTATTTGATTTTCCCTACAACAGGAGGCCTTACATCGAGAACAGATGCTGGAACAGAAATTGGCCACTCTTCAACGATTACTAGCCAACACCCAAGAGGCATCAGACTGTAGCTGGCAGGTAACTTAAAGACTGATTTTATATATTAAATTCCAAATGTTCCTTTGAACGGTGTTCAGTTGATATATTGTGATAACAGAAGGAGTTTTATCATTGCCCAATGGAAAAATCTCTTGGTCTTGCATGCTTTTATATGATAGTAACATTTCAATTCTGTATTACTGTGATAAAACCTGTTTCACACTGCAGCATATCTCCAGCCACCTCCACTCACTTAAAGGTCAGGTGCGTGCCGCTGAACACACCTGGCTCAAATCTGATTTAACAGTCCACTGGCAGTTCTGGCTGGACCACATAAACCGATCCACCCTCACCTCCCCTAAATCGTCCTTCTATTCCAAGGTAATCTTGGAGGCCAAGGACAAACCCAGGCTTCTCTTCTCAACTACCAACCGGCTCCTCTGTCTACCCTCTCGTGCCTCTTCGATCCTCTCCTCCAACTCCAACTGCGAGGAGATCCTGGATTTCCTTGAGGCTAAAATCGAGGGGAACTGTTCAGCTGCCTCCGCCCTCCCAACCATTACCCTCTCCCCATCTCTCCCTCACACTCTGGCCCCTACCCATCCCTTCCTCCACACCTTCAGACCTGTCTCCACCACCACTATAACCCGCATGAAGTCCCATCACCCGCTCCTTTGACTCCATCCCTACCACTTTCCTTACTTCCCAGCTCCACCTCCTCACCCCTTTACTCTCAGACCTCATCAACCTCTCCCTGTCAACTGGCACTGTTCCCACCCCACTAAAAACAGCTGTCATCACCTTTATCCTAAAAAAACCTTCTCTAGATCCATCCCTGCTCACTAATTACCGCCCCATCTCCAACTTGCCTTTTCTTTCCAAGGTCCTTGAAAGAGTTGTTGCTTTCCGGCTTCACTCCTTCCTCTCCTGCCACTCCCTTTAGGAACTCCTCCAATTGAGTTTCTGTGCTACCCACAGAATGGAAACAGCCCGAAAAGGTGACAAATGACATTCTGTCCATCTGTGACCAGGACTCCCTTATGTCTTTTTTGTCGTCCTCGACCTCTCTGCTGCTTTTGACACTGTGGACCACTCTTTCCTCCTCCATCTTCAAAGTTCTGTCCTTGAATGGTTCAGATCCTATCTCTCACACCAGCTCCACTTTGTCTCCACAAATGGCTTCTCCAGCCCCCGCACCATCTTGTGCAATGTTCTTCAGAGCTCTTTCCTCGGTTCTCCTCTTCAGCCTGTACATGCTCCTTCTTCATCCTCAGACATGCAGTCAACTTCCACATGTACGCGGATGACGCCCAACTCTCTTTCTCTCTGTCTCCACCCTCAATCCCAGGACCACTGATGTCCTCACAGACTATCTGTCAGTCCTGGATGAGAGCCAACTTTCTACAGTTTAACGTCAGCAAGACTAAGGCTCTCCTGATTGGCTCGCGCCAGTGCCTCCGCACCTCAGGAACTGGCAGCATCAGCATGCACACTCCACCTCACTGAGCCAGGCAGGAACCCAGGCATCTTGTTCGACCCTCAACTGTCCTTTCTCCCCCATATCCATGCCATGACCCGCTCTGCCTTCCTCCACAACATTGTCCGACTCCGCCACTGCCTCACACCTCAGGCCGCTGTTCATGCCTTCATCACCTCCAGGCTCGACTATGCAAACGCTGAAACCTTCATACATGCCTTCATTACAACTGGGCTTGATTATGTCAATGCCCTGCTTGTCGGCCTTCCCAACTCTTCATTCCACAAGCTGCAGATCATCCAAAGCTCTGCAGCTCGTGTCCTCTCCCGCACCAGACTCGGTGACCCCATCACATCCACCCTCGCCCAGCTCCATTGGCTCGTCATCCCTCAGAGGATGGAATTCAAAATTCTCATCCTCACTTTCAAGGCCCTCCATGGCCTTGTCCCCTCCAACCTGCTGACCGCTTATCTGTCTGCACCCTCTGCCCAGCAGGCTCTGGCCTCCCCCATGATCCCCACCTTGCCTGCTCCACCAACGGCGGTCGGGCCTTCAGCTTCTCTGCCCCCACCCTCTGGAACTCCATCCCACATTCCCTTCGCCACATTCCCTCCATTGCCTCTTTCAAACACACACCTCAAGACCCTCCTCTTCGACCATGCCTTCGGCCACCCTCCTATCCTCTCTGCCCCCCACCCTCCTTGATCCCCCTGCTTGGGTCCTAACTGACTGTTCAGCGCCTTCGGACGTCCCCCTGATGTGAAAGGCGCTTTACAAATGTAATATTGTATTGTATCTCTATTTCACAATGTAAATTTTGACAAATAGTTTGAGTCCGGGAGACAGTGCCCTCCCCCATTGTTTAGGCTGCAGCTGCTGTATAATCGGTCTGAGATTACAAGGTGAACTAGATTTTTGTTTTGCCAAATTTCCCTTCTCCCCCACCCACCCACCCACCTCCTCTCTCCTCCCCCCCCCCCCACCCTCTCCTCTCCTGAAGATGCTGAGTCTTGCTGGTAGTTCAGTTCATGGGTGCAGCAGCTCCTCCAATATTATGCCTAAGCAGCCATTCACAGAGAGATGTTAGGATTTGAATGCCCCATCAGGTGATGCGGTCAAGGCAGATGCATATAAGCTTTCAACGGGCAATAAGATAGATATCTAAAAAGGAATAATTTCCTGGAGTCTGACAGAAGATAAATTCAACTGAATGGATTGTTCTTTTGAAAGATCCAGCACAGACATGATGAGCAGAATGCCCCAAAGGACAGGAAGGGGACCAATTAGCATCAGCTTTGAGTGATTGACAGCTGCAGCCGCTTGTGAATGGGCATTCACAAGCGTCTTTAGCTGTCAATCAATCCTGATTTCACTCCTCCCCTCGTTCTTCCCTGTTCCTCTACTCTCTCACTGATTGACAGCTGAACTCCAGTCATGTGTGAATGGCTGGAATCCACTGTCCATCAATCTTAGACTCCTCCAGCAGTGAAAATTTGGAAGAGTTTTGGAAGAGGAAGAGTTCAATCCTTATAAAAAGCAATGCTGCTGTAATTGCTCCAAAGAGAGAGCAATTGTGTTCACATTCTAATTGAGCAGTTGCCATGTATTGGTTGCCAATCACATGGTGTGCATGTGATTTATTCAAACACAATTTACCAGAGTACACCATTAGTGTAAATAATTTGAGCTCTTTTCTCTTCCAAACTCTGCAAAATGTCATTTCAGTCAGGTGAAATTCCATGGTTGAAGTCTAGGATCCCTATAAGGCTAGGCAAGAGAAAATCAACCTTCTCGTTCCTCATTGTTGTGCAGTGACCTACTCTTGAAAGAGCATGAGTAGATTTTGTGTAAGGACAGGTCAAATTCAGACGTGATGTCCAATTTTAAAATTTTATAGGAATCTTTATTTAAGTTAAGTTTTCATTTAGAAACTGGTTACTTTTTTTAACAAGGTTTCAGTACTTGTGTACAGTTAATTAAGTGACATTTCTTTGTAATGCAGGCTTTAATCGATGAAGATAGGCTGCTATCAAGGTTAGAAGTAATGGGTAATCAGTTACAAGCTTATTCAAAGGCAAGTAACCTTTCAATTACATTTTTTTTTCCTTTGTAACTGAGTAACATTTTATTCACTGAGGAAATGTTACCAACCTGCTTGAAATCATATTCTAATTAATTCAAAGTTTATTTTTCATTTTATAAAAGTAGTTGAAGTTTTTTAAACTTTAAAAATATTGTGTGTCCAATTATATAATTTTCAAGTAAATATTCATGGTGGACATTTCCTAGTTGTTGGATATTTTCAGTAGATATCAGTAGATATCAGTAGATTTGAATCTTACATCTCCATTTAGTTGTTTTTAAATATGCTGGATAACGTTATTTAGAAGGGATAGCGGAGAGAGGGAGCAGTTATGGTATTATAATACTTATTTTCATGACTTGATATTGTACAATTACTTCCACTTTTGGCCTATATCTAACAGAACCAAACTGAAGATGGGATAAAGAAGGAGATGGTGTCATTACAAGAAGACAAACACAACTATGAGACAACAGCCAAAGAGTCCCTTAGGCGGGTCCTTCAGGAGAAAATAGAAGTACTCCGCAAGGTCTCAGAAGTGGAGGTATTGTTATATACACATTTAATTTGCTGGGTCACAATTTTTTTTTAACAGAGTTATTCTAGATGATTTAAGATCATGTTTCTGCATTGTGATCTGGGTCTTCAAGGCATGGAAGGCCATCCTTCAAAGGTTATAGCATGCACCCCCCAAGTGAGAGACCTGGGTTTGATTCCTGGCAGGGCGAAACATTGGGCAAGTTTCCTTACTCCACATGCCTCTGTTTACCTACTAATAAGTAAGAACCTGTTTGTTAGTCGATTGGCGGATCACTTTTCCTGGAATAATAATTGGTCCCTCAATCCACGACTGTTTGTGGGATACTGCTTGTGCAATTGGCTGCTGTGTTTTGCCCACAAAATATACAGTCAATTCACTTTACAGTCTATTCTGTGAAGTGTTTGAGATGTCTCGAAGACATGATAAGGTGCTATATTAAATGCAAGGATTATTATTTATCCAGCATATTTAACCCAAAGTGCCTTTGAAGAAGAACAACTTGCATTTATATAGTGCCCTTCACCCAGTGTAGCATCCCAGAGTGCTTCACAGTGGTGGAGTCTGACAATGAGCCAAGGTTAGAGAGAGGGGAGGAGACCATAAGCACGATCAAAAAGGAAGGTCTTTAGGTGGGATTTGAAGGTGGGAAGCGGAGGAATTGAGGGAGAGAGTTCCAGAGTTTTGGGGCGTAATGGCTGAAAGCACTGCCATCGATGGTTGAACGCTCTGTTCAAAAATCACGAGGGATAAATAGGAGGCCGGAGGCAGCGGGTGGTGGAATGGGGTGTAAACAGGTTGGATAGGTAGGGAGGTGTGAGGGAATTAAGTGAGAGCATCTTGAAATAGATCTGTTTGGTGATCGGAAGCTGGTGGAGCCTGGCAAGGACTGTGATTGGAGTATGGACTTTCATGCGGGTGAGTATCTGGGCGGTCGAGTTTTGAATTAATTGGATTTTGTGTATGGTGAAGCTGGGGAGAACAGTGAGGAGGGCATTGCAATAGTCCAGCCGGGAAGTGACGAAGGCCTGGACGAGGGTTGTGAGGTATGGATGGAGGTGGACAATGTAGTGGAAAATTGGGTAAATGTGTGTTTAAAAAAAAAAGTGATCCTGATCAGGGAACAGATGTGTGGTAGAAAGGAAACCTGGGGATCGAACCTGACACCTAAGTTGCACAAGGGTTTGGAAAGTCTGAGGGGGAGCCCGGGGAGGTTGAGGAGTTCGGATCTGCAGCAGAGAAGACATTGATGGGAGCCAAATATGGCTTCTGTGTTGCCGACATTCAGCTGCGGGAAATTTGTGCTCATCCAGGCCTTGACCTCCATCAAACAAGCTGACAGGACCTCAGCGGACTGGGAGTCGCAGCTGGAGAAGAAGTAGATTTGTGTGTCATGTGGAAGTTGACCCCATATTTGCGGATGACATTGCTGAGAGAGAGCATGTAGATGAGGTAAAGAAGAGGCCCAAGGATGGAGCCTTGGAGTACCCCACAGGTGACCAAGCAGGGCCGAGAGGAAAACCAGTGGTCAAGATGAAGTGCTGGTGGTTGGTTAAGTAGGATTCGAGCCATGTGAGTGCGGTCCCACTAAGGCGGATGAGGGAGGAGAGGCGGTGCAGGTGGATGGCGTGGTTAACTGTGTAGAACACATCGGAGACGTCCACGAGGACGAGGAAGCAGAGAGAGCCCTGGTCACAGAGAGAGAGGACTTCATTTGACACTTTGACGAGCGCTGTCTCTGTGCTGTGGGCTGGGCGGAAATTGGACTGGAGGGGTTCGAGTAGGGAGTGATGGATGAAGTGTGACCGAAGTTGTGTTCCATTTCAAACCTGCCCTTCCTGGTCAAAGCCCTGGGACAGTAGTGCGTGAGGTTGAAGGGATCGAGAGTAGGTTTTTTAATGAGGTTTTTTAACAGTGGGATGACAGCTGTTTTGAATGTGAGTGGGACTCATCCTGAGGAGAGAGACTGATTTATTGTGTCTGCCAGCAGACGAAGGGGAGTTGAGTGACCAGCAACTGGATGGGGAGATTGTTGAGGTAGCAGGCGGTGGGTTTCATCTCTGTGATGGAGGATGAGAGAGAGGAAGGAGAAATGGGGGCAAAGGACAAGGTTGTGGCCCGTGGGAGGAGGAGAGGGTGATGGAGAAGGGAGGAGTGGGGGGGACATTGGCCAGGAGAAGGAGGCGGCCAGGCAGATGTTATCCATCTCGGAGATGATGAAATCCAAGATCTCATCGCACTTGGCACTTGATGTTAGGAATGAGGGGGCTTGATGGGGTGAGAGGGAGCAGCGGTAGGTGTGAAGATGCTTGAGCCACAGTTGGCGGTGAACCGGTTTTGTGCCATCAACGCTCGAGCAACCAGGTTTGGGAATTGAGGGAGTGGAGATGATTATTATACCAGTGTTTGGAGATGGTCCTGGATTTCAGGGGACAAGGGAATTAAAGGCGGAGGAGAGGCGATTGTTCAGCAGTTGACGGCTGCATCAGGATTGCTGCGGATGGAAAGCCAGAGGGAGAGAATGTCAGGATGAGAGGATGTTTGGGCGGAAGCTTTCACCAGGGGTGGATAAAGATGGTGGAGGGATTGGGGGAGGGGCATCCGGTAGGAGAGTGAGATGAAGAAGTAGGTCAGAGATGGCCTTCTCCGTGAAGTCCAAATCATAGTTGTCTAGGCCATGGTGATGATGAGGTCAAGGGGAACTAATATGGAGGGTGAGGTTTAGGATGGAGATGGGAGCAGTGAAGTCAGATGAGATGGGGCAGGATTTGTTGAGGTGAAGGTTGAAGTCGTCCATGATGAACAGGCGTTTAGTGCAGTGGGACAGGGATGAGAGGAAGGAGATATCCTTGAGGAAGGAGCCAGGAGGTTTTGGGGGGTAAGGTAGACTAGGAGAATTCTGAGGAAGAGCGAGAAAGGATGGTACAAGGTGAGGTGCTCAACTGAGGGGAAACAGCCAGAGGAATAGGGGGATAAACCAAGGGAGGTTTGAGAGATGAGGACTACCCCACTGCCATGACGGTTGGGGAGGGGAGGTGTGGTGGAAAGTGTAGCCGGAGGTGGGGGAGGCTTCGATGAGGAGGACGGGTTCTTCAGGGGGACAGACAGGTTTCTGTCAGCCCTAGGATGTCAATATGTTCATCCAGGATAAGGTCGTGGATGGTAAGGGCTTTGTTTGAAAGGGAGTGGATGTTTTGGAGACTAATGTGGGTTGGGGTGTTGATGGGAGAGGGTGGAGTTAAGAGGGGGAGGGATTTGGGGGGGGTTTGCAGATTGTGGGGGGAAATGACCATGGGGTTTGAGTGGGGGGAAAAGATGGGAAGGGGATGAGGGAAGGGGGATTTGCCTTCTGGAGGCAGGGGATGGTCGTGGAGTGAGTGGGCGATGGGAAGTTGGAGTGGCTGCTCTGGGACAACCATCAACGCGTGGGGCGCTGAGCACGGTGGAGGATGCCCAGGCTGGAGCAGACGGAGGCAGTGGAAGAGTCCAGGAGAGGAGGGCGGTGGGAGAGAAGGGCAGAGGTCGAGTGGCGGAGGGTGGGAAATACAAATGGGGGCATTTTGAGGGGGGTTGGCTTGGATCAGGGGCGGTAGCCAAAATGTACATGCCAAGACTTGGGATGACGATAATGAAGGGGGCTAGAGGAGACAACGCCGGAGGGAGAGAGGGGTGATAGCACTCATCATCTTATTTATTAGGTTAGGCAGAGTCCCAACCTAATAAATAAGGGTTTGAGAGAGGGAGAGGGAGAGGTGAGAGAGGAATGGGAGAGAAGGAGGAGATTATCTTTTCCCCTTTGCACCAAATTCCCATTCTCACCAAATTCCTGTTGTAGAGGCCTCACTCTGTTCCCAGCTCACTCTGTTGGGCTTTCATCTCTCTGAAGAACTAGAAAGTGACTGGGAGAACACAATTGATAAGATTTGTGTTGAACTATATAGCTAGAAAGTAGAAATATATGGATTTTCAAAAGGCTTTTGATAAAGTGCCACATAATAGACTTGTTAGAAAAATTGAAACCCATGGACTTAAAAGGACAGTGGCAGCATGGATACAAAACTGGCTGGGGGACAGAAAGCAGATAATAGTGGTAAACAGTTGTTTCTCTGATTAAAGGGAAGTATACAGCGGTGTCCCCCAGGGATCGGTATTAGGACCACTGCTCTCTTTCATCTATACAAATGACCTGTACTTGGGTATAGGGAGTATAATTTCCAAGATTGCAGATGATACAAACCCAGGAAAAGTAGTAAACGGTGAGTAGGGGACTGCAAGACAGACTGGTGAGATGGATGGAGACGCGGCAGATGAAATTTAATGTGGAAAAATGCGAAGTGATGCATTTTGGGAGGAAGAATGAGGAGAGGCAATATCAGCTGATGGTACAATCATAAAGGGGGTGAAGGAACAGAGAGACCTTCATAAGCAAATTTTTGAAGGTAGCAGGACAAGTAGATAAAGTTGTTAAAAAGCATACAGGATACTCGGCTTTATAAATAGGGGCATAGAATACAAAAGAAAAGAGATTATGATGAGCCTTTATAAAACCCTGGTTAGGCCTCAGGTAGAGTACTGTGTTCAGTTCTGGGCACCACTTTATGAAGAATGTCAAGACATTGGAGAGGATGCAAAAGAGATTTACCAGGATGGTACCAGGAATGAGAGACTTCAGTTATGACAAGAGGCTAGAGAAGCTGGGATTATTCTCCTTGGAGCAGATAAGATTAAGGGGAGATTTAATAGAGTTATTCAAAATTATGAGGGGATTCGATAGGGTGATCAGGGAGAAATTGTTTCCACTGGTGGGTGGGTTGGTAACCAGAGGACACAGATTTAAAATAGTTGCCGAAAGAACCGGAGGGGAGGTGAGGAGAAATTTTTTTCACATAGTGAGTTGTTTGGATCTGAAATGCATTGCCTGAAAGGTTGGTGGAAGCTGATTCAATAACAACTTTCAAGAGAGAAGTAGATAGATATTTGGGGAGGACAAATTTGCAGGGCTATGGGGAGAGAGCGAGTGAGTGGGATTAATTTGGACAGCTGGCACGGACACAATGGGCTGAAGGGCCTCCTTCTGTGCTGTATGATTCTATGAAAAAATTCTTCTCTTTCTCTTCTCCTTCCACCACATGCACACAGTGTCAAATAGACTCTAATTAATGCTTTCTAAAATGAGTTGGGCAAATAGGGTTGGAAGGATCGACCTAGAATTAGATCATCTAATAATATGGCTTCAGTTTTTTGAAGCCATGAATGCAAATTGAGTTGAGTTTTCTCCTTTGAATTATCATCTGTGATTATTTACCCCTCTTAGAAGATTGTTTTAGGAGTATTCTATGGGAATGAAAATTGTGCATGGTCTATTGGAAGGACCAAAGAATGAAGACTTTGAGGCCTTCTTCATTCAACACAAGTGTTATTTTAAAAGATTACTGAGTTATCTTCAAAATATTCTTCATTGGTTTTGAAGTTCTTAAAATCAGGCTCCAAATAGTACATTGTTCAACTGAGAAATGGCAATAAGTTGATCGTGAAGCATTTCACCATTTCAAGCAAGGATGATGTGCATGTTTTGCCTCAGTAAATACTAATTTGAAGTTGTGTAATGCAGGGAGTTCACGTTAAGCTGTTCAGTTATTCTTTGGACAGATTGTTACTGAGTTTAATCACTTGTTCTTGAAATGTGAGGTTAAAAGTCTGGGTGGTGCTTTTTAATCGTGAAGCATTCCTCAATTGTTTAACACTCACCTTTCTGTATTGTTGTATTGTAGCGAAGTCTGAGTAACACTGAGGACGAATGTACTCATCTGAAGGAATTGAACGATAGGACGCAAGAAGAGCTGAGAGAATTAGCCAATAAATACAATGGAGCTGTAAATGAAATCAAAGAACTAACTGACAAATTAAAGGTGAGCACAAAGAAATGTTTTTAAGTGTTATACTAATAGTGAAAAACATTTGTCATTTTAAACATTTCAATTAGTTAGTTTTAAACTTTTTTTAAAAAACAAGTTGTGTGTCCAATTATACAATTTTCAAGTAAATATTTGTGCTGGACATTTCCTAGTTGTTGGATACTTTAAATTTATTCTAATTGTGCATTTTATTTTGAACTACAATTTCAGGCAGCAATAATTTAGTAGCTTTTTCAACTAAAAGATGTGGAGTCCTGTAGCTCAGTGGTTAGAGCACTTGCCTCGAAAGCAAGAGACCTGGGCTTGATTCCCGGCAGGGTGAAACCTTGGTCAAGTTTCCTTACTCCACACACCTGATAATAATCCCTCAAGAAAAAAACATTAATAAATTGGCCACTTCAATCCACGACTGTTTGTGGGACACTGCTGTGCGCAATTGTCTGCCTCGTTTCACCTACAAATATACAGTCAATTCATTTAACAGTATATTTCTGTGAAGCGCTTTGAGACATCTAGAAGATGCGAAAAGCAGTATATCAAATGCAAGGATTATTATTGTAAGATGTTAATTCAAGGGTATATAACTTGGATGTTTCCAGTCTCTCGTAATGTAACCTCTTCAGCCCAAATACCATTGTCTATGATGGAACTATGACACTTGAATGAGTAGAAAAGGAGAAGAAAATTGTCTAAAGTTAGTTAATAATTTACAAAAGCTTTAAGTTCACATTCATAACACGTTACATATGTAAATCAAAGCAAAGTGCTTTTACGAGCAAAAATGGAGGCCACTTAAGTCCGTATATTTCACATTTGGGAGAACGGGAGGATTGAAAATCATTAACTAGGTACAATATTCCTTGAAAGTACCTTAGTTGTTGATTTATAGCAATTCTAATTTTGTTTGAGCAGCATGCAGAAGGACGGCAAGAAGAGATTCAGCTGAATGCCACTTCCGAGAAAAAAGAGCTTCAGCACAGGATAGATGAAATGGAAGAGAAGGAGCAAGCACTTCAGGCTAGAATTGAGGCTTTGCAGGCTGATAATGATTTCACCAATGAACGGCTTACTGCCTTACAAGGTAAAGGCAATTTGCAGAACATCTCGATTTTTTTTTCTTCTTTCTTACAGGGAAACTGCCAGAAATTAAATTATAAGCAAACCTTACCTCTAATTCTGTTTTCCTGAGTGTTAAGTATATTTTCTAAAATTTTGGAGTGCAAAAATATATCTTTTCCCAACTTGCTGAACAACCCAGGAAAGGGAGGTTGGAGGTGTAACGGTAGCTAGGGAACAGAGATGGGTCGAGGGAAGGATTTTTGAGGATAGGGATGATGACAGCTGTTTAACGGTGTAGGAACCGTGCCGTTGGACAGCAAGATATTAACAATGTAAGTGAGGACTAATTTTGAGTTTCAACCAGAAACTCTGCATGCTAAATTAAGGACAAATTGTCACTGCAGGATGAATGTGAAAAGGAGGCTTGTGTTCTCAGTTACTGTCCATTCTCTGCCAGATGTGAGAGTTTTGAATGACTAGCCCAAATTTTTTTCTTCCCCTTTTTCCAAGTGTTCAATAAAATTAGAATGCACCTTTTCATTCCTATTTTCTAAATTGTTTTTTAATTACAGTGCGGATAGAGCAACTTCAGGACAAAAATTTAAAGGCACACAACAGTATAGGTGAGTTTATGCACATAAGAGAAATGTACTTAAATTTGTAAGACATATTTATCAACTTTAGAAAAACAAGTAGAATTTGATGCTACATTTTCAGTTTAAACTCTTTATGATTTACATCAATTTAATGCGTTTGAATTTAAGTCCATTTCCACTGCGACCTGTAGGAAAATTGTTAATGCACATTTTAGAACTGGATCTACAAGAATATGTGCAAGGTTTCCTAAATGAAATTTTCAGACCTGATTTCCATTTTCAAAGATCATAACAAATGATTTGGGATAATCTGCTTTCACAATGTACAATATTTTTCCTTGCTCGATAATCATCCAGCCCTTTCACCCGATAGCAGTGGTTTAAATTATTACAGTCAGCAGAGGGTGCTGTTTGCCAGACAGCCACTATTCCAAATAGGGTATTTCATTTCTGTCCCAGAGATCAACTTCTTCGTAAAGAAGGCATTTTGAAAAATTAACTTAAATTATTTTAAAGATTAGAAAGATTGAAAGGATATTTTTAAAACACTGCTGGCTTTTTGTTTTAATTCATTACAATTGTATTTGTATTCGTATGACTTTTTTAAAAAAAATCTATTTACTTTCATGTATTTATACATTTTGGTATGTAGTATCATTTTTATGCAATGGACAATGATGTAAGGAATTGGCTTTCATTTAAACCCACCTTCATTTAAAAAGCAGCTTATTGATGTGATGGAGGATAGCAGGGTGTGTGTTCTGGAGGAATGAGATCGGAATGGTTGAAGCGTTTTCTTCATCCAGACCTATCTTGTGAAGAAAAGCTGAACTAATGCACTAGATAGCTGATATTTCATGAACTGGTGAAATGACAGAATGTAACTCCCTCATATTGTCTCAATAATTATTCTCCAAATACTACCATGTCATGAGCAATCAATAATTCCTGCTCTCAGTCCTCAGATATTCTCAGTTTTCCCCATCCTCTTGTGAAAGTGATAGGCTTAAGGTTGGTCTGCAATTCCATGGTTTCAGGTGGTCATTCCAGCACTTTGATTTGGCTATTCTTAAAGTGAACCAAGATAGAAATTGTTGTCAGTTTCAACTATGTAGACTAGCACAGTGAAGTCCAAACCTGACCATTGAATATATGTCCGCTTATAGAAAACTAGCAGTTCTGTTTGCATTTGACATCTAAAGGTTTTGATGAATCTTTATAATTAAGCACTGGCTAGGCATCAGCTGGAGTACTGTGTTCAGTTCTGGGAGCCACAGTTTAGGAAGGACATCAAGGCATTGGAGAGGGTGCAAAAGAGATTTACCAGGATGGTACCAGGAATGAGGGATTTCAATTACCAGAAAAATCTAGAGAAACTAGGATTATTCTCCTTGGAGCAGAGAAGGTTAAGAGGAGACATAATAGAAGTATTCAAAGTTATGAGGAGATTCGATTGGGTGACCAAGGAGCAACTGTTTCCACTGGCCGAGGACACCGATTTAAAATAGTTGTTAAAAATAAAACGGGTGCAAAGAAATTCTTTCACACAGTGAGTTTGGATCTGGAATGCATTGCCTGAAAGGGTGGTGGAAGCTGATCCGATAACATCTTTTAAGCGAGTAGATCATTATTTGGGGAGGACAAGTTTGCAGGGATATGGGGAGAGAATGGGGAGTGAAATTAATTTGGATGGCTCTTTTCAAAGAGCCGAATGTCCTCCTTGTGTGCTGTATAATTCTATGAATCTATAGATGCACTTTCCAGGGCGGGTCACTGGACATTGATTGTGTGAAGTCTGGTCTTATCAACTCCTCTGTAGTTCATTCCAGCTTGTTCAAATAATAAGAAAATGCGTAACCAAGTTTATTTTGCAGTTGGTGATTTTCAATGGAGTTACGAGCATCATTTACATCAGCAGAAACGCAAGCGCAACAGTGATGCTGATCCACACTGATGAATAATATAAGCAGGATGAAACCTACTGTCTGCTTCTTTTTGTGCCTAAATCAACCTTATCTTCCACATGGAAGGATCAGAAGTAGATGTTATTAATTTTAATCCAGCTGACTCCATTTGCTGTTTCATCAGCTACAGTGGAAACGCAACTTAAGCTTGCCCCAATAATGTTGTCAACCCCATCCTAATGTGGTCAGTTTTTTTTGCAGGCTTTTTCAATTCAACATTATATTGTGTAATAATAATTGCATTTGTTGTCGGGAAGATGTCTCAATGAGATTCATAAGATTTATACTATAGTGACTTTGTATTTTGTAGGCAAATTCAGTTGTCAATTTGGACACGGCAATATCCCACAGATGCTGGTATATATTACTTTAAATACAAAATCAGTAATGATATCAACCTGCTTATGTGGTTGAAATTTTTAGTCTATTTTCTGACTTTACTGCAACAACTTACATTCATATAAGGGCTATCCCGCAGGTAGCAACTCAGAGAGCTTAGACTTTATTTGCGAGTTTCCACTGTATTGGCTGCTATGATTTCGATCAGGCATCATTTTTGCAATTGTATTGATGGAAGCATCCAATTTGTTTACCTCGTGGCCCAACTTCAGAATAAACTGCTTACTGTGAATGGAAGTGTAGCTTTGAACAGGTTCTGTCAATTTCTCGTTTGGTGGAGTTGAAACTTAATGTAAAGGCAATCAGTGGTGATGTTACAAGTGCTCAGCCTTTGTACTTCAGTCAGCTCTAACAAGGAATAAGCCTGTACTAGAAGAATATGTAATCCACTTTTCCCAAATCCTTTCTAAAGGACACATATAATAGGCCAGGGACAAATATAGAAAAAGATTGGTAAAACTATTAATCAATACAGTGGAAACTCATGATTAAAATCAGCAATCTCAGTGTGGAATTTTGACCACATTAACAGGTTGACTTTAGCAGTGAGGTTGTATTACTGCACTTAGAATGTTGAAATGAAAGCTTGCAAAATATTGACCACTTAACGAGTTCACCACAACAGTGGGGTCATTTAAAGTACCGTAATGTCACTCGCAATTGTTTTACATTTGGTATATATGAAATTATTGCCATTGTTCAATGGCATTTGAAATGACGATTGATTCCTTTTTCGAAGTGGAAGATTGAAAAGTGTTTCTTCGAAATTCAGTTAGTTAAATGACATTTATAGAAGATATGATTTGTAAGTTATTGACGGATAAATAAGAAACAAAGTCTCTGAGTTAAAACTAAAGCGCTTGTTTTGTTTTAGTAATGATAGGAATCCAAGTTGATGAATTATTACCTAAAATTAATGGAAGCACAGACGAAGGTAGTGTATTTATGTAACTTTCAGATACCAATAATATAAACAACTTTCTGTGCAGGATAGTACCCATAAGAACCCTCAAGTGTTTATAACTGTAATAAACATTTATGCTGTGGAATGGAGAGGGCACTTTCCTGATTCCAGTATCCAGTGTTAGTGTCACACATTAACATAGCATAGTGAGCTGTGAAGAAAGGAATTGTAGATCAATTCATTCCATCATAAGGATCATTTCTCTTTCTTCTTCCCCCCCACCACCAGCTGCACCAGTAACAGTCTGATATTTCCATTTCTCACATTGGTTTCTCGAAGTGAGATTGCCAATTTAGGACTAATTATGTGGTGTGGGTGAATGCACCACTAGAAACTGGCTTGACACTGTTAATCATTTCACTTATTGAGATATTAGAGGCCAAAACATTTATCATTTTCATTAATAAGATGTTTGGATACTATTTTGTGCTCTGCTTGTGGAGAATTCTTTCAGATGGGGAGGAAATTAAATCTTTGCTATTAACAAAATAACGACCCACTATGTTAGTGTTGCGCAGAAGGTAGGGATTGATGATTAAATATGTGAGTTTTCATATAAATATAGATGAACATAATAATAATAATAATCCTTGCATTTGATATAGCATAAAGTTTATTCTGAAGATATAATTTTACTTTGTCACTCAAATATAGATGAAAACTTGTGGCATTTCAGTATGCAAATCACCGTAAAACAAAATATATTCAAAATTTATAAGCAATAAAATATTTTTATATCAATTTGTGTAAGATAACAAAATATCCTCCTGCCTGAGTTGATTTGTTGGTTTGCATTTTGAGGTGGTTATTTAACTTTTCCAAATGGGAAACTGCATCTAAAATATATACGCAATTGAAGATTCTTTCTTTCTAATAGAGCACTTTCTATTAAAGAATGGCGGGGACTGCACCAAACATTTCCAACAGTTCATTGAGTGCAAGAGTGAGTACATTGATTTACACAAACACTGAAATAATTGTAGCCACATAACCACACTAGGGGAAGAGTGATACAGTATAGTGCCCAAAATTTAATTAGCTGAAAATTAATTCAATATAAGTGACACAAACATAACCTGCACTATATTTGATTAGTCTTGTACTTTTTTTATTTTGGTTTTAGCCTTTTTCCCCTTTTTCAAGTACCGTGTAGTTTCTGAAGGTCATCAGTTCATACAATTGATTAAAAAGATCTAATTGGAAATTGGATAGGCTACATTGGACTGATGCTTTGTCTGGCCTGAGATAGTTTACTATTTTTAATAAAAGTGTAGTGGGCTTGTGAAACAGACTACTGGGACAGGTGTTAGGACAAGAAACAAAATGTTTCAACAAAGAACTGGAAAATTTCCTGCCATTTGGGTATTAGATGTAGTGATAGAAATATAACAATAAAATGCATTTTGTAAATGGTTAGAGAAGAGCTCAATGCATTTTGAACAGATGCTGCTCAGTAACACGTGACTGGGGAGGGGTGGTGTTCAGCAACATCAAAACTGGTCTGCTTAATACCAGATGAATAAGAACAAAAGTAATTCATCCTAATTATTGCAAAATCTGAGAATTATTGGATAATGTGCCTTGATCAATACAGTTGATGTTTCAACTTTTTTGCCTCTTTTGCCTCACCCCCAAATATGTTGCAGTTTATGTGTTTAGCTCATACAGTCGTCTATCTGGAGCTATTTCAGTTGACACCCTGCAGCTGTTACTGACAAATCAGATGAAGACTTTAAAACTGGTTATAGACATATAGACCAACAGCAACTTGGGAGCAATGTCAATCTAAACTTCCATGGTGGAAGCTCATTTATGCACAGGTGCCTGTACCCCTAAAGTTAAAGAGCAATATTACATGATACTTCAAGGCCAGTTCAAATATAAATTGGAGTAAGTTGCATAAACACCAATTTCTTCTTTTTGACTGCGAGTCGTCACTTTGATAAATTGTTTTGATATGTTGCCTGAAGAGAAGATTTTGTGTGGTGTTCTAGATTATTTTTCGGTCTTGCAGTACTTGTGACTGTATTCAAAAGTTTGCTGGATTCCAAGAGTCTTGTTATAACTATCAAGCTCCATCATTTGTTTATGATGAGCCCTTTGGATAATGTATTTAGGAGCAGGATTTGTACTGTGAGAAAAATAGAATGGCAAATGGTGTAGAACAACCCCTGCAACAGAGGTTTAAAATTCTGCTGAATTGAACAAGGGGCCAATTGGACATGGTAGAATTTTATTTGCACTAAGGACGCTGATCAGTGCAAGCGTCATTCACCATCTTATCACAGAAAATACCAAATGTGCTCTAAACTCAGAAGGTTCAAAATAAAATCCAAAGCACAATTTGAAAGGAAAGAATGTTTAACTGAATGGAAAAGATTGATTAATTATGAGGCACCCAAAAAGAGTGAGTCTTAATGGGTCCATGCCTCATACCTTACCCTTACTTGGATGACAGGTGACTTCTTTATCATTTGGATAAATAAATGAAAAATAATTTAATTTCTTTAATAATCATAAGAATGTTTTATTTTTTGGAATGTATGAAGGTTAAGTTTCAGTAGTTAAAACGCACACATAAATGGCTTCTAACCTATCAAATACAATTTTTTTTATTATTTTCTTTCATTCTTATACTTTTCTCTAAGCAGCTATGGTTTCCTGTTTAATTACCAAGAGCACCTTTGCGACTCTTGTAATTTGAGTGAAACTAAATTGAACTATTTACAGAAGATACTTGTATTCCCTCTGAATGCATCCCATGATTAGAACTCACATTTTAGTGCAGCCAACATGTCAGTCAAAAATGAAACTGGAGTAGATGATTCAGAGGAGCCAAGCAAATGCAGCTGCCTTTTTTTGCTAGGCAACAGTGGCTAATATTTTCCACTGCTGTATTTTTTGACAAAAAAGCTTCTATAGACCAACATTAAAACCAGGTTGCAGATGAAGTATTTGAAATGTATGGACTTGAGTGTAGATCCTATTTAATCAAATTATCATTTTAAAGGTATTCTCCTCTACAAATCAGTAAATACAGTTTCTAAACCCTTAAACCAAGAAGAAAATTTGGATGCTCTTGCTATTACCTGAGAGTTTACAAAAATAATGCTGATTTAATGTTATGAAACATTTTCTTTAAAATTACAGGCAAGTTAAAATCCTCAGTGGACTCAACCCAAAACAATAGGATCTCAGGCTTGGAAGGTAAACGGCATATTTGTTCAGTAACAACAAGCAGTCTGCATCTACTGGTGTGGATTTGAGTCTTGCTTGATAAAATATTTTATCAAGCAAGTCCTGTAGTCCTGTAGCTCAGTGGTTAGAGCACTCGCTTTGCAAGCGAGAGACCTGAGTTCAATTCCAGGCAGAGGGCGAAACCTTGGGCAAGTTTCCTTACTCCACACGCCTAATAATAATCCCTCCAAAAAAACAAAACAATAATAAATTGGTCATTTTCAATCTACGACTGTTTGTGGGACATTGCTGTGCGCAATTGGCTGCCGCGTTCGCCCACAAATATACAGTCAATTCACTTTACAGTGTGTTCTGTGAAGCGCTTTGGGACGTCCTCCCGACGTAAAAAGCGCTATATCAAATGCAAGGATTATTATTATTATTATTATAATATAGAGTTGATCTGATGTCTTGATGTTCTGTGCTTTTAGAAGGGGTTTCAAGCCTATGGCAACAGTGAGTTCTCGAGGTTAAAATATGAAAGGATAGTACATTTTATACATTTTTGTAAAATATGACTCCTCATATTATATGCCTGGAGACTAAGGATCTTCAGATTCCACTGCAGATTTAATAATATGCTTTTGGGCCTGAAGCATTCTGATCAAACAGAATTCTGCTTGTCTGGACTACCTGATAAGAATTTTTTAGGAGTGAAAATAACTACATTTGTTGTTTTGGAAAATACAGTTATGATTAGCTCAAGTTTCTCTGTTCAGTTGACAAATTTTAGACACTCAGAATCCAATAAAAAAATAGATTTACCTTAGAAACTTCCAGGAACAATCCTTGGTCTGTGCGAAGTTAGCTGATTTTATCCAGAAAAACACAAGGTGTGTTCTTGGAGACAAGAAACAGAGGGGAGGTGAGGAGAAATGTTTTCACACAGAGTCAGTTGTTCGGATCAGGAATGCATTGCCTGAAAGGGTGGTGGAAGCCGATTCAATAACAACTTTTAAGAGAGAAGTAGATAATTATTTGGGGAGGATGAGTTTGCGGCTATAGGGAGAGCGCGGAGGAGTGGGATTGATTTGGATAGCTCATTTCAAAAAAGTCGGCATAGTCACGATGGGCCGAATGGGCTCCTTGTATGCCGTATGATTCTACGGTAGCATGGCTCCTACTGCAGAAAAACATGCTAACACTATTTTGGCTCACATATGGAAAAACAGCCACTTGAGCGAGGGAAAGGACAAGCTGTTCCGTTGAATAAATCAACACTTTAAAAGTTTTTTAAAATGCAAAATAATGTAAATTGTACCTCTCCAATCCATGTCATTTCATTGTGGTTATTCACAATAGTGACAGTGTATCTTTTTCTTTTTTATATATACATAAAAAAAGAATTTCTAAAAGATTTTGTTTTCTTCTGCACAATTCATTCCCATGCAAGGTAATGTAGAAAATTATTCCATGACCTATAAAAACTTGAATCGGGTAATAAAGCATGAATTTAAACTTGAGAAATGTTGCACTACAAATTGTCTTCTGATAACTATTGCCTACTGTTCAGTTCTGGAAAAGGCATCCTTGAAATGAATGACATGCAACACGTTTAAGGTTTAGTTAGTTCTCAGCCATCTATTCCAACATGGAACTTTTGTCTTGCTACACTTTGTATAGATGTATCATGCTGATCTTGGGTAGAAGAGCCGGGCTGTCACAAAGATTTCAGCAGAGTCATGTAGTTGCCCGATTGATGATGATCAGTCATGGGTTCTTTTGTGATCAACCTGAAAAATATCTTGCATTTAATTTATTGATGTATAGCCCAACAGCCTTACAGCATCAGCCAAGTAAACACATTTGTGGTGCTGAATAGGTGAAAATTATTTTCCTCTTCACCCCACCCCCCACCACCACCCATGGTAATGTATGCCCCAAAGTATATTGGTACAAATATGTTAAGTAAACTTAATGACAACTTTGCAGTATATATCATAGTATTATGTAGAAGTGATTCTTAATGACAATTTGAATAGAGACTACAATGGACTTGTCTTCAAATATTTGGAGGGGGAGTGGAAAGAACCCTCCGTCTAAACTTTTTTTGCAACAAAAAATTCCATCATTCTTGGTTATATGTTGGAAATCTTCCAGCAACTGTGGAACTGTACCCCAGCTTATCAATTCCTTCAAGTAAAAAGGGAGAGGAGAAAATTGGAGCAAAAACTGTTTAGGTGTATTATTTAAGTGTATGTTTGTTTTGAACATTTCTAGGTGTGCTTGATTCTCATCTAGAAAATGACCAAACCACAGAAGAATTACAGAGCAATTCAGAAAGATTAAAAGGTTTGTTGGAGGAAAAAAACACTCCAAAAATGGACACTTTCTAAAAAAAAACATGGGATGATCTTCTTCATCATTGATATTTAAGGAGCACAATTGCTTCCAGAATAAATTTCAACTGCTATTTTAAAAACATGTTGATTAAAAGCAGAAACTGACAAATGTCGTAAAAGCAAGCCTTTGTGAGGCAATATGTGGCATGCATGTTAGTAAAATAATTCTGCGCTTCTGTTCATTCTGCAATGCAAAATAGTTTCATGTTACACAATTCACATATAGAAATGAAACAAATGTTATTTTTATGGCATTCAGTAATTTGCAGCATTGAAATAGCACAGCATGTGTTAATATTTGAAATAGTTTTGAAGTACATCCGCAGTAATGGGTAGTGAATGTGTAAGCACATGTAAGAATGTCTTCTGTGTATTAAGTGGGTTTGAAATGAAATGTGTTATGTAATATTCACCGTAATTGATGACCTTATTACAACTTTTCTGAAGTTACTCATTGCTGCCTTTGTGAAAATAATGGCCCAATTAGACCAAGAGAAGTGAATTATGTGTGTTTGGGTGAGCCAATGAAATAGCAGTTATGGGCAATGTTTTGTACATGTATGTATTTCATAGAGCACATTATCTTGCAAATATTGGTTGACATAATGTTTCAAAAGTTTTAACAGACTTGTGAAAATATCCAATTTTATTTTGCAGCTTTTTTAAAAAAAATCTAATTATAGCCTTCCTATTCTGAAGGCAGTGACTCAGCTAAAAGCTGCTGACAACCATCAAGCCACAGTTTAGCCTATCTGGCCATTTGTGCGAGAGCCTGAATGATGACTGTTAGCAGGCGATTTAACTTTGGTCGTCACGCAGCCGAGCATGACCGTGTCCTCATTTTTGTCCACATACAAACTGGCTACTGGAGAATCATAGCTTGTTGCTTTCTCTCCCTTTCTCTCTCCCTCCCTTTTTCTGCCTGTATGTTTCAGTACTGCACTACGTGGTATATTTACTCAGTGGATACTTAGGAACACAAGAGGTTCCTAAAACGTTTTTTAAAATTAATACCTCCTATAATGTTTTGCCATTCTGGCCCAGAGCAGCAGCTGACTTGTTGCATCAACGAGAAGTTATTTGACCTTTCTTGTCCTTTCCATTGGTTGAATGCCTTGGGAATAGTCATCTGACAAGAGACTTCCTGGATTAGGCTTGTAATCAGCCACCATCTTCTTGGATGTATAATATATTTCACAGCTATCTTTAGAGGCATATAAGTGCTGTTTTTTAATAAGACAAATTATATTGTTAGACATACTGAGGAAATTGCTATGTTTTTAAAATCCTTGCATATATTTATTTTTACAAGGTACAAATGAGGAAAAATATGTTCTCTTTGTTCAGCACATATAAACAAAAAATGCCAACTTAGAAAGGAGAAGAGAAATTGAGCTGGTGAGCTGTCCCATTACAAAATGTCTCCCTCCCCCCCCACACACACACACTGTCTTGTGCATAAGACGATAGCACTCCTAACTGTTACAAGTAATCACCAGAATTGTGTTTTTTTTCTGTCAGAGCCTTCCTAATCATTCCAGTTTATTGCTTTGTTTCATCATTGAATTATTAGTATAATAAACATCTTTCCTTCTTATAGACCAGCTTATAGCAGAAGATCATCTTACCAAAGTTAGGGAAGAAACAAAGTTATTGAAAGGTTTGTAATTATTGAATGTATTTAATGTCTTTTAACGATGAATGGGATTGAACCTGAGTTGCCGGATAGCAGTTTAGTCTTTGCTAGTTCTTTATTTTTTTAAAAAATAAATCCTTGCATTGGTGTAGCACCTTCTACATTAGGAGGCCTTCAACATTTTTCACGAGTTTACCATAAAGTGCAGTAGCTGGAAGTGAATTTGCACACAGCAACGTCCAACAAACAGCCATAATGTGAATTACCAATTTTATTTGGGGAATTGTTGGACAGGATACTGGAACAAACTCCCTTCTCTTTACAAACATGGGGTTTTTAATGTCTTACTGAGCAGGCAGACGGGAACTTGATTTAATATTTCATCTGCACCCCCAGCACTGCATTGGAGACTCAGGATAGACTATGTGAGTTCAGTCATAATGTGGGGGTTGTACCTTTAACCTTCTGACTCTACATCTGAGACTGCTATCAGCTGAGCAAGTCTGACACCTCTTTTTGCATTAGATTTAATATAATACCTAATTCATCATTTATCAAATTCAGGGATTATTATTATTATCATTTTTTTTCTTAAATATACTGAAAACTTAATGAATTTCATAGAAATCAACAGGAATACCAGTTGAGAGATCAGTAACTTGTGTTATTTCTAAACTGCATTCATGAAGGATTGTTTTTGGTTTTGAATAGTGCCAATATTATCTGTCGCTGTCAAATTAATAATAATAATATTATTAAATTGAACCTTAAGGGTTTTTTATTTGCTTTTGGTTGCTTTTGAATTGAATTTCAATTGCATTTATGAGACTGCAAATGTTGATAACATTTTAAAAGTACAGTTGATTGTTTTATTGCTGTGAAACTGAATTGTTGAAATTTTTCTCACAAAGTTACTAGGATCAAAACAGCTAATTAATGTCAGCAGAACTGGCATGATATCCTGTTAGTGATTATTTATAGAATCTTATGCAGTGGGACTCCATGAAGTCAGTTTCCCAGTTTACTTTTAAATTCTCTGTTCTTTAAAAGCGAGGAACATGTCCACTGGTTCTTGATGGTATTAAAGGGTGCAGGATTAAGAGAATTGTACCTATGGTATCTGGATCTTATCATGATGTAAAAACAATAATTCCTCAATTTGTAGACAAATAAAAAGCTTTCAGCGGCAAGTAAAATGCAGGTGATCAGTGGTACGAAATGGGCAGAAAATGTTATGAGTATTGTTTCAACCAGTTACCATAGTTTTACGATAACGTAGGTCTATGTCGAATCCAAACGAATAAGTTGCCGGGGGAGGAGGAACAGGGATATATTTTGCCTCTAAAAAGCTGCAATAATATGGGTAAAGAAATCATCTGTTGTCCATCCAAATAACCAAAGAGACAATATTTTTCAGGCATAGCAGTTCTTTCTTTTATAGAGCCCTTTTTCCAGTATCTATCATCACTTTATGATACATTATGGAAAACCATTTCTAGGTTTGTAGTTGACCTACATATTCTAGCATTTTCTGTTTTTATTTATATAATTGTACTTTGAGTGTTTTTCAACAGCAGCTTATCCTTATGGAGCCTTCATGTAGGAGAAACATCTCTAGACACTTTACAGAAGTGGAATGGGAGCAAGGTGGGAGATAACCAAAGGCATTGGTCAAAGTCAAGAGTATTTAGAAGGGTTTTGAAAGCAGAGAGGGGTAAGAGTGAGCTAGAGAGCAGGGCCTAAGGAGCTGAAAGCTCAGCACTAATGATGGAACAATGGAGGCAGGGGACATGTAGCCGATATGAGTTAGCTGAGTAGATGGGGCTAGAGGAGATTGAGGCGTTAAGTAGATACACGTAGGCATGCATGAAATATCACAAGGCTGCTATTGTCTACTGAAATCCTAACTGGAGGAGAGACGGGCAGATGGAAAATTCCACTGTAGCTGCACAAAATTGTTACACCAACAGTACTGATATCCTTGTGATAACACTGATCAATAGTTTATAATCTCTTGCACTTTTGAAAACCTTCGCAAATGAAAAAATATGCATGTGTAACAAATTACATCCAAAGGTGTTGCACATACAATGCTATTTCTATGTACAATGCTATTTCCCCAAAACCTGAAACATAAAGTGCTTTGTTTCTAATGGTATGTTTCATAACTAAACACTTAGTTAAAATGTTCCAATTGGAACAAGTAGCTCTGGATTGTTAGCCAATTGGCAAGCAAAGTAAATGCACTCCCTGTAGAGTCCTGTAGCTTCGTATTTAGAGGACTCGCCTCGCAAGCGAGACGACCTGGGTTTGATTTCCAGGCAGGACAAAACATTGGGCAAGTTTCCTTACTCCACACGCCTCTGTTCACCTTGCAGCAAGTAGGATCCTGGTTGTTAGTCAATTGACGGATCGCTTTTCCGGGGGTAATAATTCCTTCAAAAAATAATAATTTGGTCATTCAATCCACGACTGCTGTGCGCAATTGGCTGCTGTGGTTCGCCCACAAAATATACAGTCAATTCAATTTACAGTATATTCTGTGAAGCGCTTTCAGACGTCTCGAAAACGTGATCAGGTGCTATATCAAATCCAAGGAGTATTATTAGAAAAGGATTGTCTATTTTAGCCAAGCAGCTGTGTGCTCAGTTGGAGAGATTCAGCTTGGTAATGTGACGATTTGTGGATAATGAGGGATGCTGCCAATTTTTTCAGACTTGGGAGTACCCATTTGTGCCTTTTTTTAAAAAAGGAAAATTTTAGCTTTGAATCCATTATACTGTAAAAAGGCTCCTTTTTTTGCAATTGGTTGTGCATTCAGTTCAGCGATTAATTATCTTGGTTTAGTAGACTGATAACTAAGTTTTCTTCCCCTTTGAAGTTCATTATGCTACCCTTCTGTTTAAAGTGGACTCTTCTGTCTTTACTCAGAAAATCAACCCGAAACAAAGGAATCTGACATGTCTGACACACTCAGCCCAAGTAAGGACCGAAGCGGCGACGATACTACAGGTAATTGTGTGTGATTATTAAATTCAAATGTTGCATTTCTTTCAATATAAGGTTGTGCTGAATGCTTGTCCCCTTAGTGGAATTATTTGTGTGCTATGTCTGATGTAGATTACTAAATAATGTAATTGCAAACATGAAGTTAAAAATGCATTGAACTTTTTTTCATTTTAGTTGAATCTTAAAATATTTACCATGTTTGTTCATTGGATGTTGTTTCACAGGTTTGTCCCAGCAGCTTGGGACATCCTCCTGACATGAAAAGCACTATACAAATGTAATTTGTTGTTTGTTTTTCTGAAAAATCTTTCTTACACTGCAAAAAAGGCAATACTTGTTTTCTGTGAATGTTCAGAAATGTAGTTCTTATAAAGTTTTATACAAAGAGAAGAAATTGTACTGAACAGCTATAGTAATTTGTTTCATTTTATAAACAAAAAAACTGTTTTGTTTCTCATACTCATTGCATCAGAAGTACAGCTGTTAAAATCTCAGCCATTGAATCAGCAGTATGCTTGTTTAGTTTGCCATGGTATCTGCGAATGTTTTCGTGGTATAACTTTTTAAATCTTATTGCTAAGTAGCACTATTTTGTGAGAACCAGCAACACTCTGACTTCACAAACCACCTTTTTTGACCTTATTTTGACCTTTTAGCAAGTAGTTTTTATGAGGAACCGCTGCTGTTGCTGCTGATACACTGTTACAGACACTGCTACGTTGATTGTGGTATTTCTTTCTTTTTACAGATTGCCAAATGGATGAACAGGAGCTGAATGAATCTTTGAATAAAGTTTCATTACTAAAAGGTATAATTCCTGCTCTTTTATTTATGCTGTGATGTTCAAGCATAACTACTGTATATGGTTTTCTGCCGACTATTTACTCACTGCTCGATTATGTGCGTGGATGTGGAACGTGCTCATAAGCCATGCTCTTTTCCTGCTATTACTGAAAATTATCTGAAAATGATACAGTTTTAGCTTTTAGTTTGTTGCCATCTGATTAGAAACCTATCTATATCCAGTGCCAACGATGGAGTGGCAAAGTATATGTAATGAACCAGTGTTCTATGTGGCTGTATAAAATGTAAGCATCTGGCGAGTTATTCTAAAGCTTGTCAAAGTTCGATCCTTTCAATATTTCTTAATTTGCTGCTCCATGTTCTGTAAAGCATTTCGTTAAAGCATACTTCAACTGTTTAAATTTCTTTAACTAAACATTGTGTTCTATTTTTGTTGATGTATTCGGACTCAGTTACATTCGTTGATGAGACTGGATGTAAAATCTCCAATCATTTGAATTAAACAGATCCTGAAGCCATTTTTGTGGAATTAAACAACTTTAGTGTACCAAACAACAGGGCAGTGTGATCTTAGCTTCTCTATTCATGTATGATAAAAATGTATTACAATCCACTGGAGATTAAGGGAAGCCAACTGTGACAGATTCTGGGCGGTTACAGTCTAACCAGCAATTGGAGTCTGTTTGCCTTCTGACCTTATATAGAATTCTTCTGTGAAGTTTGTTCAACTACCTTGTCTAAAAAAATTTCTTTGAAAAATGCATGATTGTCCAGTTAATTCACTTTCCATGACATAGTTTGCCTAGGTTTAAACAGGCCTTCATTTTAGTCTTTCTATTACTCCACTAAAAAAGAACTATTGTTACTCCTTATATGGTCTCAATATTGTCTAGTGTAACAGTACATCAGTGCTCTTGAAATATTCAGATATATTGAAAGAGGCATTCTAGGTTTGCACCTTGGGACATCCTCCTGACGTGAAAGGCGCTATACACAAATGTAATTTGTTGTTGTTGTTTGTAATTGTATCTGTAGTTGGATTCAAGAAGTTCAACTGCAAATTGTTTATTTTCATGAAGACATACATGATTATAATGATGTAGTGTTGTAAAATCAAGTACTTTCTTGGAAGCAACCCTTCACAGCAGCTTTTTAAAAATAATTAACTATTTGATGTAATGCAATAAATGTCTTGCTACAAAAGGAAAGTTTTGGGGTGGGGAGGGCTCTAATTAAACTGTAGCTTGGGTGCATTCTGTTGCATATGTTCCAGAGCTAGAGGATATTACATTAGGCTACCTTTTGAATAATTATTTACATTGAAAAATCCCCTTACCATTAGCAGCAGCTTGTCTGTGAAAGTTATGGAGATTTGTTTATGAACTTGAACACACATTCATACTAATTATGATTTGCTTGACTGTCATTTAATTTTTTTTTGCTGCCTTGACCACGTTGGATACACAAATCTAGCTGTACTTTGTGCTCATTAGTGCAGTGGCATGACCATTTGTTCATCAGTATGAGTGGCAAGTAAGCAGTGATAGTAACTGCTTGCACTGATAGAAGGTGGTGTGGGGGAGTGGATCCAGCTTCACAAACACAATGTGGTGTAATTCATTCGTACTGTGTTCTTTTAATTGTCTTCAACTGTACTTTTGACCATTTTTCTGCCCCTCATCAGCTTCCCTTAACCCTTATCCCAATTTAGTCTCCCAGTCGATTGCTGTGAGATGTCTTCTCAACATGAAAGAGCCTATATAAATGTGATTTGTACTTATAGAAAGGAGCTGACTTACACACCAGCTTTTTTTTATCATTATAAAAATATAATTTGTATAAATTATACAGCACAGAAGGAGGCCATTTGGCCCATCTTGTCTGTGCCGGGTCTTTGAAAAGAGCTACCCAATTCAATCCCACTCCCCCACGCTCTCCCCACAGTCCTGTAAACTTGCCTCCCCAAATAATTATCTACTTCTCTTAAAAGTTGTTATTGAATCGGCTTCCACCACCCTTTCAGGCAATGCATTTCAGATCAAAAAACTCGTATCAGGTTTTCCTTTAACAAATTCATGTTGGCTGTCCTTTATTAACCCATATTTTTCTAAGTGAAAATTTATTTTGTCCCAGATTATATTCTCTAGAAGTTTCCCCATTAGTGATGTTAGGCTGACTGGCCTGTAGTTCCCGGGTTTATCCTTCTGCCCCTTTTTGTACAGGGGAGTAACATTTCCAATCCTCCAGCACCACCCGGTGTCCAAGGAGGATTGAAAGATTGTTACCAGAGGCTCTGTTATTTCCACCCTTACCACCTCAGTAACCTCGGATGCATCCCGACCTAACCAGGTGACTTATCTACCTTGAGCACAAACAATCTTTTTAGAACCTGCTCTTGGTTTATTCTTATCTTATCCAATTTCTCTACCCTCTCCTCTGATACTGTGGCATTGGCTGCATCCTCTTTTGTGACGACAGATGCAAAGTACTCATTCAGTATGTCAGCCATGCCCTCTGCCTCCACAAGAAGATTTCCTCTTTGGTCCCTAATTGGGCCAACCCTACCTTTGACTAACCTTTTATTCTTTATATGCTTCTAAAATACATTAGGGTTCCCTTTTATGTTACCCCCTAATCTTTTCTCATACAATCTCTTTGCCACTCTTAGTTCCTTTTTCAGTTCTCCTCTGTACTTTCTATATTCTATTTGATTATCTTTTGTATTTTGGACCTGACATTTATCATAAGCCTCCTTTTTCTGTTTTATTTTAATCCCAGTGTCCTTATTCATCCAGGGAGGTTTGGATGCCCTACCTTTCCCCTTTGTGGGAATGTATTTGTTCTGTCCCCAAACTATCTCCCCCTTGAAGGCTTCCCATTGCTCGTTAGCTGTTTTACCTGCCAATTTTTCTTTCCAATTCTTTTTTAACTTAATTAGCCCTCTTCCAATTGAGTATCTTCACCTTTGATTGTTCCTTGTCCCTTTCCATAATTACTCTAAACCTAATGATGTTGTGATCACTTTTGTCCAGATGCTCTCCTACTGAAACCTGCTCCACTTACCCCACTTCACTCCCCAGAACTAGATCCAGCACTGCTTCCTTCCTTGTTAGGCTGGAAACATACTGATCCAGAATGTTATCCTTAACACAATTCAGGAATCCTTCCCCCTCCTTGCCCTTTACACTGTTATTTTGCCAATCTATGTTAGGATAATTGAAGTCCCCCTTTATCACTACTCTATTGGTTTTACATCTTTTTGAAATCTGCTTGCAGATTTGCTCGTCTATCTCCTTCCCACTATTTGGTGGTCTATAGTATACACCTAACAGAGTAACAGCTTCTTTTCTACTCCTTAACTCTAACCAAATAGATTCTGTTTTTGGACGCATCGTCCTTTTCCAGGGGGGTAACCGTGTCTTTAATCAATATTGCCAAGCCCCCTCCTTTTTTTTCCTTTCCTATCCTTCTAGGTTGCAGCCAGGAATATTCAGCTCCCATTCGTGCCCTTGTTTGACCCAGATCTCCATTATTGCCACTACATCGTAACCTCATGTGGCAACTTGAACCTGCAGCTCACCAATCTTATTTACCACACTCCATGCATTTACGCACATGGACTCCAAGACCGACTGAGTCTGTTCTGCATTTCCCTGTCTAATCCGTCCTTTTTATGGACTATTCTTTATTACATTGCTATTCGTCTCTCCCAGCCCTCTATGTAACTTGTTTGTGTGATAGTACATCTTGATTCCCTTCCCGCCTCAAAATTAGTTTAAACCCTTCCCCAGGGAACCACTTAACCTCCCTGCGGGGACATTGGTCCAAACCCTGTTCAAGTGTAACCCAACCATTTTGTACAGGTCCCATCTGCCCCACCTAGTCCCAATGATCCAGGATCCTGAAGCTTTTTCCCTTGCTTCTGATACTCTCTCCCTATAGGACCTCAGCCCTTTTTTTTTCCCTGCGTCCTGGATCCCAACATGGACCACGACTTCTGGGTGTTCCCCTTCCCCCTGTAGACTGTTTTGCACCCGTTCCATGATGTCTTCAACCCTGGCACCAGGGAGGCAACATACTATGTGAGAGTCAAGTCTTTGGTTGCAGCAATGCCTGTCTATTCCTTTCACCATTGTGACAATTGCATTGACACTCTTCCCTGTGTCCCCCTGGCATCCATTTGCTTTTGACTCCCCTTCCCAGAGGTATCATCACTCTGACCGGTAGTCAGTACAGAGAATAGGTTTGTAAGTGCCACACTCCAAGGACGATCTAGATGAGGACATCGAAGTTGACATATCTAAATTTGCGGATGACACAAAACTAGGAGGAAGTGTCAACAGAGGATGTCATTAAAAAAAATGCAACGAGACATAACTAGGTTAGGTGATTGGGCAGGTAGGTGGCAGATGAAGTATAATGTAGGGAAGTGCGAAGTCATCCACCTAGATAGCAAAAACAGTAGAGCGGGTTATTTGTTAGAAGGGGAGAAATTGGAATGTGTTAGCATCCAGAGGGACTTGGGTATTCCTTCTACACCAATCACAGAAAGTTAGTCTGCAGGTGCAGCAAACAATTAGGAAGGTGAACGGTATGTTAGATTCATTATGAAAGGATTAGAGTATAAGAGTAGGGAAGTCTTGCTGCAACTCTATAGGGCCCTGGTGAGACCACACTTGGAATACTGTGTGCAGTTTTGGTCTCCTTATTTAAGGAAGGATGTACTTGCCTTGGAGGGGGTGCAGCGTAGATTTACTAGCTTAGTACCAGGGATGAAGGGGATGAGTTACGAGGATAGGCTGATTCATCTGTTTTACTTCACAAAGCATGACTTTTTGGCACTTACCCATTTGCCTGCAGATTATTTGTGGAGTTCTGCAGTTAATAATATAATAATAATAATAATCCTTGCATTTGATATAGCGTTTTTCACGTCGGGAGGACGTCCCAAAGCGCTTCACAGAACACACTGTAAAGTGAATTGACTGTATATTTGTGGGCGAA